TATATATATATATATATACACACTATTTAATCAACTAGACCGATTGTCTTGACTGGTAATAATATTATAGTTTTGCTATATATGATCGATCGCGCGTGTCACTGGGGCTCAATCAAATTTTCTTTCATTTATTTCGTTTTACGGATCTTCCGCCAAGCGTGGGCGGTGATTTACTTGTGCAGGCCCAACCCTACCCCCCCCCCCTCCTACTAAGAGATGATCGGTACCGACACACCTATCGAATCGTCATGTGTGTATGTCACGTATATCACTCATAAAGCGCACCAAGCACTTGTAGCACGTATATATATAGATGTCTAAAAAAAAAAAAAAAAAAAAAAAAAAAAAAAAAAAAAACGAACAGATCGGTACGATCGAACGGTGCAATGGTTGGGTTTAAAAGTGTGCAAATTACGGCGGGCTTGATTTTTTCCGGCACGACGAAGCGCTTGCTCCGAACGACGCTCTCGGCGGCCTTTGTCCTCGAACGGNTATATATTGTTGTGGATCGTAGATATCGGAACACAAACGTGTACATATATGCAATTAAACATGTGTGCGAAGCTATCGATTTTTACAAATCGGTACGTGTATTGAATCGTGACAAACAACAACGCAACCGAGTGATGATGATTGCGTCGGAAAAGATTAAATTGAACCGAGGCGCTGATTATGCAAACAAGTGGATGAAAAAAAAAGAGTATCCGTGTTCAAAAATAATAAAAAAAAAAAATAGGCAACTTTACGCGCGCCTCGCGCGTATATGTACAGTTAAACTAGATTATTAATATTCTCGTGACACGGAGCGTGTCGAAGGGAAAAAAAAAATCAACTGTCGCGCCGGTCGAGAGTCTTGGTACTTGGTGGAAAAAAAAAAAAAAACATTCCAGTTTTCCAATGGACCGAAGAATTGCCCGGCAGTGCATTGTCGCCACTCTGACGCCACGCGGCCAGTGCGTTATATATGCATATTATAATAAATGTATATATGCATGCACAAGAGAGCCAAAGGGGAAAAATGCCAATTCACATCTCGTCGAGAGGGAAATATATGTATACATAATATTATACTCTCGCTACCTGCCGTCGTTGCTGCCGCTGTTTTTGGTATTATATACGTGCACACACACACACACGTGAAAAGCTCTCTCCGCGATCTCTCTCCGTTGCTTCGAAAAACCTGTTTTACAAGTTCAGTTATGGGTGCTGTTCCATTTCTGGATATCTCTTCACCCACGCCAGTCGCGAAACTTACAAGCGCCTATCCGCGTTTGTAAATCTCCATACACACACACACGCGTATATTTATATTACGCGCGCCCGTGTGCGTATAATATATGCACGCGTCGAGGACGCCGCGAAGGATTTTTCATTTTTTTGTTGTTTTTTTTTTTTTTTGTTTTCCAACTAACTACCTCTTTGCGATTTGTCCGTTTATTTTGAATCGTTTATTTTTGCCTTACAATAAATGCCTATTACAATAGGCGCGACGAGGAGCGATATCTGAAAAATGCAGCTCGACAGCTGTATATATGTATAGATAGTTTTCCTCCCTCCCCCCTGCCCCGTAAGTCTAGGTTCTCTTGTCTATGACCATCCAAGGGGTGATCGAGTGTATAATATATGGTGTACAGGTTGGTAGCCTCGTCGCTACCTCGAGGAATGTCCCGTCCGACGACCGATGGCACTTTTTATTGCACGCGCATTCCCTCTATATACGTGCCATCGGGGGAACAAGAAGAAGATCGCGCCTCGGACGTGTACACGATGACGCATCACCGTGGCTGCCCTCGTGTTTTTCCCCCTGCGGCTAAATTTTCCGCAATTCGCGTGAAATTCAATCGACTACCCGAGCATGTACGATAAGCCCAACAATCGAGCTGCACATACTTCGTATATTCATCATGTGTGTGTTTTGTTATAATATATGAGTAATTTTATTATATGCATCGTGGAATAACATGTAATGTAAATGGACGCGCGGGTGCTTGATTATTTTTTTTTTTTTTTCGTTTCAGGAGAAAACAAGCCGTGTGGATCGTCAAGATGCTGCTTCTGATCGGCTTTACCCTTCTTTTGCAAGTCTCGAGGGCTCTGTCGGACCCGGGCAAGGATTATCGGCACATATCCTACGATGGTAAATTAACGATGTTTTTCCCGATGAACAATCGGTGATTCGCGATTAATTGAATTGAAAAACGGTCTCGGAAAATTTCAAATTTCGCAGATCTGGCGGGTAAGACGGTGTTCCAGCAGGAGGGCGTTGCGACCTACTCCCAGCTCTTGTTCGACGTCTCGAGGCAGCAGGTCATAGTGGGCGCACGGTGAGCTTTCTTTATAAATATATGTAAAAAAACAAAAAAAAACAAAAAAAAACAAAAAATTAAATAAAACATTTGTTCGTGTGGGCAGGGACAATCTGTACTGCCTGACCCTGAGCTCGTTGACGCCACTGGAGCACGCGGTCTGGCCGGCGAGCGAAAAGAAGATCAGCCAGTGCCAGAACAAGGGCCAGACCGCTGAGGCTTGTCGCAATTACATCAAGGTCCTACTGAGCAACGGCAAGAGGATCTTTGCTTGCGGCACCTACGCCTTCAGTCCCCTGTGCTCGTGGAGAGAGGTATGCATATTCTTTTTTCTTTCTTCTTCGTTTTGTCACTCGTGGCCGTTATCCGTCAGATCGACAACATAAACAACTCGACGAGCACCCAGTCGGGTGTAGCCATGTGCCCTTACTCCCCGTACTCCAACGTGACGGCGCTCCTGGTGAGGGGCCCTTCGGGGGGACTGTTTGCCGGCACGCCAACCGAGTTCTCGGGCAGCGACGCGGCCATCTACCGCACCACCGTCCTCCCGAATCTCAGGACGAGGCAGTACGACTCGAAGTGAGTACCACCCATCCCTTTGCTTGATTCGTCTATACATAATATATGTATACCCATGTGTGTACCATCATTGTATTTACGTGTAGGTGGCTGAACGAGCCCCAGTTCGTCGGGAGCTTCGAAACCGAGGACTACATATACTTCCTCTTCAGGGAGTCGGCCGTCGAGTACATCAACTGCGGCAAGGTTCGTATATTTATCTACACATGCAATATGTACATTTGGGAGCGACGCGAGGAGGAGGGTGTGTCTGTGTGTGTTGTTAATCACTCGACGTTCCTTCATTGGCAGCGGGTTTACTCGAGAATCGCTCGGGTGTGCAAATACGATCCGGGAAGTACGATGCTGATGAAGGACACGTGGACGACCTTCAGCAAGGCTCGGCTCAACTGCTCCCTACCCGGGGAGTTCCCGTTCTACTACGACGAGATTCAAGGGGCCGTCTACGAGCCCGAGCAGGGCGTCGTCTACGCCACCTTCACCACGCCCAGGTACATGTTTTTTTTTTTTCCCCCACCCCCCACAAAACTATTATATGGATGCCGCGTTGTTTTATACGCCCATTGTACAGAGTATGCAATCTATGTTGTAAAAATGATATTCCACAGCAACGCGATAGCCGGATCGGCGATCTGCGCGTTCAACATGTCGGCGATCCTGGCGGCGTTCGACGGGCCCTTCAAGCACCAGGAGAACTCGGGCGCCGCCTGGGAGAGGAAGACGGTGGCCCGCGATGGCCAACAACAGTGCGGTCCCGGGAGCGAGGCCACGTCCGGCTACTCCTCGAATCGCATAAGCGACAACCAGCTCTACCAACTGATGGACGAGGCCGTCCAGGGGGTCACGCGCAAGCCACTCCACACCGTCATACTCGAGAGGTGGGCTCATATCTTACATACACCCAATATACGAATGCGTACGAACGTATCGGCCAATATTCCTGTATTGTGTGGTTGTACTTTCCAGGTTCACCCACTTGGCGGTAGACGTGACGGCGACAAAGTCCGATAAGGCCGTTGCCGTGCTGTACGTGGCGACCAGTGAGGGTCTGGTGAAAAAAATATCCCTCCTGCCCGAGGCCACGGAGGCTTGCGTCGTCGAGGTTTGGGGACCCCTGCCCGCAGCTCCCATAACCATGCAGTACTTGAAGGAAACCAAGAGTCTTTACGTGGGCATGCAGCACGCCCTCCTCAGGTACAATATGCATACATGTTATTGTACGCTTCTCTGTGGGCATAATTAATACTTTGATGTGGGTGTGTGTTGCAGGATACCAACGTTGCAGTGTCACCGGCACCTCACGGCCCAGTCGTGCCTGGACGCCCAAGACCCGTACTGCGGCTGGGACGAGCACCTGCTCAAGTGCAGCGGGCCCCCGGCCGAGTCGTCGAGCAGCGGTAGCAGCCTCGGGCTGTGGCGCCAGGAGGTGAACCGTTGCCCGGAGCTCGAGGTGCCGCGTCCGGGTGGCTGGGGCGTTTGGGGCCCGGGGTTCAGCTGTCCGCACGGGCCGGAGGCGTCGGCCGAGGCCGGTCACTGCGTATGCCAGACGCGCGCCTGCGACAACCCCCCGCCCCGCAACGGCGGCCCCGACTGCCCCGGGAGTCCGGTCCGCGTGGCCAATTGCACCCAACACGGGGGCTGGAGCGCCTGGTCGGCGTGGTCGAGCTGCGGCCAGAGCTGCGGCCCCGCCATCAAGACCCGCCGGCGCACCTGCACCAATCCCGCACCTGCGCACGGCGGCCGCGTTTGCCTGGGCAGCGAGCACGAGGAGAGGTTCTGCGTCGAGTTGCCACCGTGCCCCCTGCCCGCCCAACCGACCCCCAGGTCATGGTCCAACTGGGGTCCCTGGTCCACCTGCTCGAGGCTCTGCAACGGAGGTATATATTATTATGTTTACACGCACTCTTTGCCAAACAATTGTGGCTCGATGATATATATATATATATTTCATGCCCACTCGTGTTGCGTTTCAGGCACCCGCACGAGAACGAGGAGCTGCGAGCCGCAACCCACCGCGGCGCACGGTGACGCTTCCTCCACGCAAGAATGCACTGGCTGCAACTTCCAAGTGAGATATATATCATACTTTTATACACATACATAGATTTATTTGCCCGACAACCATATATATTATATGTGGTACCATGTACGTGTTGTTTGTGTGTAGGTCGAGGAGTGCAACAAGCAGTCCTGTCCGGAGATCAAAAAGAGCTACACGTCGGCGTGGCTGCAGACGACGAGCGGAGCAGGCGGCAACTCGTCGGCGGCCGGCCACAGCGAGCGCCGTTACCGGTTCACCTGCCGCGCCCAAGCCGACGAGCCGACGAGCGTCAAGGTCCAGACCAAAGTCGAGGAGCGCTACTGCAGAGCAGACGGCTTTTGCAGCAGAAAGGCCATCGGCGGTGCCCAGACCGCGTCATCCTCGGGACCGCCTACATCAGCCACGGAGGACCCTTGGGCCGACTGGTCCTCGTGGTCGGGCTGCAGTCAGTCCTGCGGCGGTGGCACGCAGTACCGAGTGAGTATATGTAACCACTATACGTCTTGTAATTAGTATCAAAAACGCCCTTTTACAATATTACTTTTATACCCTGATAATTTGTGCAGATCCGGCAGTGCAGGTCGGCCAGTTGCGAGGCTCAGGGCTTGCAAACCGAGAATCGGGCCTGCAACAGTCAGCCCTGCGAACAGCAGCACCACCACCACTACCGCGGTGGGATTTTGCAACGCGACAGCGTCGAGCCGGCCGGTGGAATTAGTAATCTTCCCACCGATTATTCCGAAAACGGTACGCCTTTGTTTGTGTTTATCCGTAACCCGTGCACCATTGCGTTCAATAATATAATGTTATGTGGATGTTTGGATCGGTGCAGATGTGAACGCGCTACCGGCGAGAATCGAGTCGAGCAGCGTGTCCTTCGCCGCGGCGGCCACCAGTTGTTTTGCCGCCTTCGTTACGGGTTTGCTTCTAACGGCGCTTGGGATTTATTACTACCTGAGGCGCAGGAAGGAACCCATTCCCAGCAGTCCGCACTACATCAGCCGGCAAAATCCATACGTGACGGTGCCATTGAAGGAGGTGAGCTACTGCGCACACGCTGTGTATTTTTTGTTTTTTTCCACCTCCCGATTTTTTTTTTTCATATTTATTGTATAACTTTGTGCAGATCAACACGAAGCGCCAGCCGAGCTTTTCCGGCAGCATAAACGGGACTCTTCGCAAAAACAATGCGATGATCAACGGCTACGGCAGCCCGAAGCTTTACCCAAAGGCGCTCGAGTACGAGTCGGCGACCCTCAAGCGCAACAGTCGCGAGCAGCACCTACGCGCCGAGCTCGATCAGGAAAAGTACTACTGAACTTGCAAAGAATGTAAGAATGAAAGAGAAGGAGAGAGTAGCTCGTTTTTTAAATACTATATGTTATCGATTGTTTGTATAACTGTGCCCGCGAATCGTAAAGTTGACGATTCGAAAAGCCGCGTGCACGGCTTTCGTTTGGAATGTCCGGGGCCGCATTTTCCTGTTCAAAAATGAAAGGAGCACCGGGGCAAGGGGGGTAATGGCTCTCTTGCGGACGGGAGGCTATGGTGGCAATTGTTTTATGCAGCGAATAACTTGGTAACCAGAGAAATCAACAAAGTGACTGTGTTGTCAAGCAGGAGCAACTCTCTCTTCACTTCTTTCTGAAGACTCGAACCTCTCACACCGTTTCTATTTTCCTCCGTTATACCGTTCACTTTCGTTTAANCGAATTCGACCTGCTCACGCGAAAATGTTACATCCAAGTCAAAGTATAACGAGTGAACATTCACGAGTTGTGTTGATAAAAACAAAAACAAAAAATCTTACTTTTCGATTCCCTCGAGACGGTGTCGATACTTATCCGACAGCAGCAGGGTACCTCCAAGACAGGCCTACGCGTCGTTAATTCGTTTCCATTAGTTCAAAATCGCCATATATCTACTCTTGTACGCTACTCGAGCATACGCATCAAAGTATACACGAATATACATATATGTGTGTGTATATATATATATGATTGTATGTATATACAATCATATATATATATACACACACATATATGTATATATATATATGATTGTATGTATATAATAATAATAATATTAAACACACGCAATTGTTCCATTATTACGGTAAGTGTACAATATTGTTAGTATTTTTGTCAACTGATGGCGTCCTCGTAATTTTATCCTTAGCAAACGCGTATACGAATGGTAGCTTCTACTTACTTTGATTTACACCGACTGTTTTTTGAAAAAGAGCCGAGTCTGACATTTAAGCCATAGGTTAAGCGAGAAATCATGCGATTCCACAAACATACAAAAATATACACTTGTTAAACGTAAGTAAATTTTGTTTGTTAAGATTGTTATTACGATTATAAGAAGTTTATACTTTGTTTGTATGAAAAAGTTGAAACAAAAATATACATGTTACGAAACGAGCGATCGAAAAAACGACACTTCGGAGGTGATTGGGCATTTCGTGCGCGTATGTGTGTTAAAAATTTATGTAGATGTTTATTCATATATTGATGTACTGAAAGAAAAAAAAATTTTGTATTTTTTTATACGCACTATAGTTGTACTTTCCAGGTTCACCCACTTGGCGGTAGACGTGACGGCGACAAAGTCCGATAAGGCCGTTGCCGTGCTGTACGTGGCGACCAGTGAGGGTCTGGTGAAAAAAATATCCCTCCTGCCCGAGGCCACGGAGGCTTGCGTCGTCGAGGTTTGGGGACCCCTGCCCGCAGCTCCCATAACCATGCAGTACTTGAAGGAAACCAAGAGTCTTTACGTGGGCATGCAGCACGCCCTCCTCAGGTACAATATGCATACATGTTATTGTACGCTTCTCTGTGGGCATAATTAATACTTTGATGTGGGTGTGTGTTGCAGGATACCAACGTTGCAGTGTCACCGGCACCTCACGGCCCAGTCGTGCCTGGACGCCCAAGACCCGTACTGCGGCTGGGACGAGCACCTGCTCAAGTGCAGCGGGCCCCCGGCCGAGTCGTCGAGCAGCGGTAGCAGCCTCGGGCTGTGGCGCCAGGAGGTGAACCGTTGCCCGGAGCTCGAGGTGCCGCGTCCGGGTGGCTGGGGCGTTTGGGGCCCGGGGTTCAGCTGTCCGCACGGGCCGGAGGCGTCGGCCGAGGCCGGTCACTGCGTATGCCAGACGCGCGCCTGCGACAACCCCCCGCCCCGCAACGGCGGCCCCGACTGCCCCGGGAGTCCGGTCCGCGTGGCCAATTGCACCCAACACGGGGGCTGGANATTGATTTGAAAAAAAAAAAAAAAAAGTTAAAGTGCACCTTGAAGACGTTGTCGGTGCCAAGGCCGAGCCAGTGGGCACCTTTGGTGATGGAGTAGTGGCCGTCCTCGCTGGTGAAGAGGGCGAGCCGTGGCAAGCCGGAGGTGCCCGCGGCTTTGATCTGGGGAAACCTGGCGTACCGGGCCACGACGATGCCGTACATGTTGGAGAGACTGCCACCGGGGGAGAGGATGCCGTCGGCCTCGGGCGCCCCCGGGTAGCCAAACAGCTCGAGCGAGCGCTCGATGACCTCGCGCTCGAGCAAACTGAACACCGGGGCCACCTCGTACGTGTACCTGTACACACGCGCGCGTACGTTGGGTGTAGGCGTGCAATTACGACGACGATAACACAAAATAAGTGCATTATTGAATGCTGTTACAAATATTTTTAGGACGCAAGAAAAAAAAAAAAAAAAAAAAAAAAAAAAAAAAAAATCCCCCAATCGATCAATGACTCGCTCTGCTTAAATATTATACATACGATTACATGACTACGTCTTCCGATTGTTTTTTTAAACTTATTTTATATTTTACTCTCCATCAATAGTTTTATTAGTCGTAATGAAATAAAAATTGTTTATACAAAGCTGCTCGACAACTCCCTTCATTCTAAAAATCCCCAACCCACAACTTACGTTCGATAATATATGTGTTGGATCAATCATGAGATGGGAGAAAAAAAAAAGAAAAAAAAAAAAAAAAGTTGATAGGGTAATGGGAACTCGTCAGTAACAAAACAAATACATGGACGAAACGAGAATTTGGCACACAACGTATGTGTATACAGTATAGTGTCAATTGACCGAGTCGTCGACCCCGGAGAGAAGCTCCTCGCCGTAGCGCTCGATCTGCTCGACGACGTAGTCCATGTTGGCCCGATTCGGCGGAGGCTGGCAGTTGACGACCATCCGGAAAAAGTTGTCGAGGTCTTTGTGGGGCATCGGCGTGTAGCCGACCATCAGGTTGCCGTCCATTATCATCCGTTCTTTTATGGCGGGCGCTACCCTGTGGAGCCTTCGTCGCCAAACCGCGTCCTCCCGTGACTCCGGCGCTCGCATCCTCTTTGGCACGTACCTGGGGGGTAAATTGCAAATTATAATTATTGTTAAAAAAAAAAAAAAACATTTCCGTGCTGCAATTTATGTTTCATTTGTAAAATCAAATTCAAAATTTTAAACGTTTATTTTTAGCTTTCGGTGATTCAATGGGTTATTGGATTCAAAATTGAAAAAAAAAAAAAAAAAAAAAAAATTTCCAACCATAAATAATCTTACTGTTCACGAATAGAGGTGGAAAAAAAAGAGCCATCAATAACAATTTTAAAAGTTGAGACTATAATATTTATCATTGATTTATTGCGTATTGTGCGTTATACGAGTAAATTTTTCTCGTGGTTATTATCGGTTACTAGTTTTTTACTTACAAAATCTGAACTAAAAAACACAATTTTATTCCGTGTAATAAAATATTGACAATGAATAATTATTACGAACAACTAGATAAAAATTATCAACAGTTACACGATAATTTCATAGTAATTGATGATTAATATTATAAACTGCACATTTCAGTCAATTATAAATCAAAACAGTTATCAGTATTTATTTATGTACTTTTTTTCTTAATTTCTATAGTGTCATTCAGGGTGACAATAAAAAAAAATAATAATAATAATAATAACCGATAACAGCTTATAATACGAGTGATCAAATGTTAATATATCAGCCTCAAATGCGGACTTGATCAATAATTCTCATCATCGGTTATAATCACTTATCGTGTTAGTTGCACTTGGATTGTTAAACGCTAAAAAACTTGTGTAAAATTTCTTATACATCATATGGATGCTTTTTAAAAAAAAAAAAATTAAAATAAACCTCGAGACTTTTTCGTATTATTCAATACGCGTTTCATATAAAAATTATCCATACCAAAAGCACACGTTTGAGCATTCGTATTTGGGAAGCACCAGTCGGAATCCCGGCCGAGAGCGGATCTTCTCCAAAAAGTACTCGGCCGCCTCCAAGGCTCTGTCGACGGACTTTGCCAGCGCAACGGCCCCTCGAGCTTTCCACATCAGCCAGAACTTCATTGCGTCCACCTGATGAGATTTTCGAGACATATCAGATAAAGTCAATTTGACGGATCATTGTTCGATTCGACAGTGAAACTACTTTTTTTTTTTTTTCAAGAATTGGAGGTACCATTTTAATAAGTATAAAAAAAAACAAAAAAAAAAAAAAACCTCATCTCTATAACAATATGTTACCTTCCTGCCGCACTGGAGGCTCTTGTCGCCCGTGTCCCAGGAGACGTCGTAAAACTTGTCCTGCTGAAAGAGGTACTTGGCCTGGGCGCAGTTGGCCTCGTGCAGCAGATTTTTCCCCTTGACGAGGAACAGCGAGCACTGAAAGGGCGCGCCCAGCAACTTGTGCGGATTCCAGGACACCGAATTCGACCTGCTCACGCGAAAATGTTACATCCAAGTCAAAGTATAACGAGTGAACATTCACGAGTTGTGTTGATAAAAACAAAAACAAAAAATCTTACTTTTCGATTCCCTCGAGACGGTGTCGATACTTATCCGACAGCAGCAGGGTACCTCCAAGACAGGCCTACGCGTCGTTAATTCGTTTCCATTAGTTCAAAATCGCCATATATCTACTCTTGTACGCTACTCGAGCATACGCATCAAAGTATACACGAATATACATATATGTGTGTGTATATATATATATGATTGTATGTATATACAAACGTCAACGTGTAGCCACAAGTTTTCCTCGCGGCAAACCGCAGCGATTTCCCCGAGCGGATCGAACGCCCCGAGGACCGTCGTGCCGGCGGTCGCGTTCACGAAAAATGGCACGCAATCCTTGGCCCGAGCCTCCGCTACCTTCACCCTCAGCGCCTCTGCGTCCATTCGGCCCAAAGCGTCGGTCTTCACCTGGAGTTTCAGTGATTAAGCCGCGTGTGCTTCATACGATTGTTCATTTGAAAAAAAAAAAAAAAAAGTTAAAGTGCACCTTGAAGACGTTGTCGGTGCCAAGGCCGAGCCAGTGGGCACCTTTGGTGATGGAGTAGTGGCCGTCCTCGCTGGTGAAGAGGGCGAGCCGTGGCAAGCCGGAGGTGCCCGCGGCTTTGATCTGGGGAAACCTGGCGTACCGGGCCACGACGATGCCGTACATGTTGGAGAGACTGCCACCGGGGGAGAGGATGCCGTCGGCCTCGGGCGCCCCCGGGTAGCCAAACAGCTCGAGCGAGCGCTCGATGACCTCGCGCTCGAGCAAACTGAACACCGGGGCCACCTCGTACGTGTACCTGTACACACGCGCGCGTACGTTGGGTGTAGGCGCAACTTTGTTTTTGTTTTTTTTTTTTTTTTTTGTTTTAAACTCGTTAATGTTTTACTGGCTGGTGTTGAGGACCTCGGTGAGCCAGGCGCCGGCTAGCCCGTAAGCGTCGACGCCCGCGTACAGTTGGTTGTGGAAGTGCGGGCTGCACGTTCTCACGGAGTACCGGACGATTTGCTCCATTATTCGTTGCATCTCCTCGGGACTCGTACTTTGGCCCTCGAGCCTCACGGGCAGCTCTTTCTACGGGGTAATCAATTTCATCCGAGCGTGTTGTTGAACAATAAAATTAATCGAATCGAGTGTCAATTGCACCCTACCGCCACCAAAGTTCGATTTTCTAAACTTTTCAAGCAGTTGAACTTTAAACGCCCGTAACTCCGTGAATAATGGAGATATCAAAATTCGTGAAAAATTGTTTACTTTAAAAATTTTTGGCCGTCGTTACAAAAATTATTTGAACGATTAAAATAGCTTTGAAGTGAATTTATTTTTAAACCTTGAATTCCGTTCGAAATTTAACAGGCTATAAATATGGTATGTACATGGTTCGTGTGAATCACATTTGACACAAAGTTCTTGTCAAAAATACCCTGATATCGTGTCCTACATGCTTATACTATTACCATACATTCATTTCGTGTATTTATTGTTTCAAGTAAAAAGGTACTAAAAATTCGTGTAATTTTAACGTGTACTTTTTTTGCAATGCAATGTATTATATCTACAATATACGATTTTTCCCATTCATCCGATCAAAGTAAAAATAAAACAAAAGAGCACGTCCAAGGTCATTGATTCCAAGGCAACAGTTACTCAAACAAGTTTAAAAATCTGACGAATGTTCGATCGGAGCCGCGACATGATTGATTAGCAGGTAATTATCGCGATGTGGTCAATAACCACTTGAATCAAAGTAAGATGTATGTATGTATGTATCATAACGAAACATTGCATGTACGTGTGCGTAAACGTGTAATACCACGGTCGAGGTGAACAGGACAAGGATAAGAGTTCATCGGCGCGAGAGATAAGCAACAGTTGTGCCTCGGTTCTCATCTTGGGCGCACCGATTCAACTGTGCACCTCAAGTATAATATCTCGACGCCCATCGGAATGCCCGAATTCTATGATCTCAGCAGTCGCTTGAAAAACAAGCATCTGTATACTTGTACACTATTAAAAAAAAAAAAAAAAAAAAAAAAAGAAATGGAAGAATGTCAATTTTAAATTGATCAATCGTTTAGTCGAACGAAGCGAAGCATTTTTAATCATACGCGATTCACAGCCACTGGAAGCCACATTATCTNAGAAACGACAGAAAAAAAAAAAAAAAAAAAAAAAAAAAAAATAGGTTCGGGGGTTTTTTTTAAAATTTGTTTTTTTTTTTTTTTTTTTTTTTTTTCAATAGCAACGTTTTAAACGAAAGACAAACACTCGAGGAAATTTTCTTCTATTGCACGCTCAAATGTTGTATCCTTGGCTGTGTTCGCAATTCGTGTCACCATTCACGATAGGTGAGCCGACAATGAGCTTTGAATTGACCCACCCCCCCCCCCTGTTATATGTATATTTCTTGGTGCACTACTTCGTACATTCGACAGAGAAAGAGAGGGGGACCATCGTACGAATTAGGTTTCATAAGCTGCAATGGGATATAGTTGTTGGAAGATTTATTGATAAAGAAACAATGAAAAACTATAGCGCCGGAATCGCGCTACCGAGTCCATACACATAGGAAGACACGTGTAATGATTTCGAGGGAATAAAAAAATTAATTACCTGTTACGTGAATTCTTTGTTTTTTTTTTTTTTTACCTCTAATTAAGTATACACAGACACTGTTAAATCATCATCGTCGTCAGCAACGTGTGCCCATATCACGCTCACACATAAATGTACGAACAGTGTATGTGATTATATTATACATACACAAAATATGAAGGAGGTATAAAAATTGAAAAACACAGCGCTAATTTCTTTCGTCGTCCATCCGTTGTCGCTCCTCGACGAGGTAGTCCCTGAACAGGTCCACATTGTCATTCCACGCGTCCGTCCAACCGGACGACCTTCTACTTTTCCCAACTTTGCATTCGGAGCACTCGTCCCGTCCTCGGCCGTAGTGTTCGAGCGCCTCGGCGACCTGCGACGCCAACGCGTGCAAGCGCTCGAACGAGAGTCCACCTGCGAATTGGGGAAGAAAAGGTTGTATAATGTACTGTATTATGGCATTACGGTAATGTCGATTAGACCTACTTTTGAGCTCGCATTTAAAACACTTGTATTTTTTTTTTTTTTTTTTTTTTTCAATGATTCGAGTGATCCTTTATACCGGCAAAGTATCGCGACTCGTCGTCGTCGTCGTCGCTGGAGCTGCCCTCGTGTTTCTTGTGTACGAGTTTCGGTATGAAGAGCAGGAGGCAAACGGCGCCGATGAACTTGACGATCATTTTGAAGATCACGAGCTTGAGGATGATCTTGATGAAGGTGTAGGCGTTGATTTTTATCGACAGGGGCCAGCTGAGGTCGATCGGGGGCCACGAGGCCAGGGGAAAGAGGTCCGGTAGGGGGTAGGACGTGCTGTACGTCGCCTGCAACGATCCCAAGCCTGCGAAGGACAAATTTCTTTTGTTTTCTATTGTCGAGAAACTAATTCGGTCATCATTTACCGCAATTTTTTTAAAGCGTAATTTAGTATTTTTTTTTGTGGAAGAACACACGAGCTGCAAGAACTTGTACTTTTCTTGCTGTTACACGCCGGTGGCAACCAAAGTATCGGCACATATCGTATCAAGAGATTATCCCAAAATGAAAGAATCAAGACACCGTTACCGATACTTTTACCACCGAGGCACTACAATTAGCGTTGGCTGCGCCGAAAAATTAAAAAAAAAAAACAAAAAAAACAAAAAACAAAAAAAAACGCAACTGTATCGATTGTTGTTGAAGGGCATACGGTACCTTTACCCTCACCTTGCTGGTGCTGCGAGTCCGAACCCGGTGGCCCGTAGTGACTCCCCGAGGAAGGGGCCGACGATACGACGATACCCGGCCCGTACGAGTAAGAGTCGTAATCGTCGGCCTGGCCGTAGTAGTAGGGCAGCTGCTGGTACCGATTGTGGTGAGCCCCGTGCGCGTAAGGCAAGCTCTCTAGGGTCGTCAGGTAAGACTTATCCCCTTGGGAGACCCTCGAAATCACCTGATGCTTAGCTTCGATTTCTGAAAAGTAACATGTATAAGGTATACATAAATAATGTACTCGTAATTATATGCTTAAGTAATAAACCGGTACTGTATGAAAACGGGCTCACTCGACGATTGCCGATCGGTCGAGTTGGTGTACTCGGGCCGCTGGTAAACCGGGCCGATGGTCGATTTGGCACCACCCACGCGGTGCGAGTGCACGAGGGCGTCGAGGTAACTGTCCCTCGAGGACGGCGTGGCGACGAGGGGCTGCCGGTGCTGACGGGGCGGCAGGATCATTGGATTCACCGCTACCGGTCCCGCTGCCGATTTCTCCGATGACATCGTGGACTTGGCGATGCTGTTGTCGTCGTTCCGCAGCCCCATCCTCAGCCTCGGCGCCGAAGCGGGCTCCAAGCTGTCGCCCGTCTTGTACTTGGTCACTATCTCGAGCTTCCCCCTCGGGCTCGACGAGTCCGCGGCCGCTGCCCAGCATCCCAGAGACACCGTCACCGCGAGCACTAATAGCCACGACCGAGGTTTCGCTCGGCCCGTTATTTTCATGGCCTGCCGACAAAGTTTCATGTGACACTCGCACATTTTTACGTGCCTATAAGAACTTCGTACCAGTAAGAGCATATTTTTTTAAATATATAAATCAACCGTATCCGCAAAGCGCGTTGATACAACACTCCCTGTGTAACGGTACGTGTGTGTTTTGTAACAACTGTTTATTATTTTAATCTTTTTTTTTTTTTTTTTTTTTTTTTTTTTAATTTCAAGTACTTGAAGTATGTGTATGTACTTACCCGCTTTCGAACAAACAAAAGGAGTAAAAGTTTCGACCGAAGAGCCCCAACTGCGGCGCGCACATGGGGTATAATATATACACAGTTGCCTTATTATATCGACTCGCAAACCTTATCGGCTACGATTCGGGACTAACGACAGTTTTGATCGTCATCGCGATACTTGATTTGTATTTGCTTGCTTTCAATAAAACCGTTGCATTTCACGATTGACGAATAAGCAAGGCGCGTGGCATTGTACGATTATATATAATTTATCGAGTCTGAAATTATACTTTTTCGGCGTTTGCAATTTTTGTTGTTTTTCGAATTGTCGATCGATGCCGATGGTCAAGTACGTACAAAAGTCACGGGCGGTATTTCGCGCTGCTATATAAGTTCAGCGTCCCCCTGGCCCCCCGCGGGTGGGAGGACGATTTACTGGATCACTGTGCCATCACCCACTGGCGCTTAGCTGTTGTTGTGGCACGCGCACCACCGAAGCACCTGTGTGTGCCTCTGAAATCGAATTGCTTTATTTGATGTCCCGGCAGCTCACCTATATGTAGATCCATATAGGGGGACCTTTTTTTCGCGCTTTACTTCTATACTTGTTTTTTGCTGAAATTTTATCAGCTTGTCCAGTGCATAAATTTAGTTTTTTTTTTTTTTTTTTTTTTCGTACCAACAATGTGGATACGTATAGCATCATTTGAGATTATTGAATTTTACAATCAACGAGCATTCGATTCACGAAATCGTTGATTAATTTCTCCCCCTCTGTGCCGAATAGAAATACAAATATCTCTACGCTATATACGTCGGATTGTCCACGTATGCATTTAAAACCCACGACGTAAAAAAAAAAAAAAAAAAAAAAGTGATACGCTGTGGATTCCAAATTGAAAGTCGTCGGAGTGTGTATATAGGCACCCCATTATTATGTACGAGAGGCTGCCAAACGATAACGGTTCCCGATCCCATCACATGCGTTTCGCTAACAATATGTATGCTTTGATCCAGTGACACGCTTTTACACCCTCAATAGCCCACTCGAAAACTCATGCGTATTGTTCCATCTCTTATTTATATGCACGTGTCCAATGTCGATAATCGATCATTTTTTTCCTCATGAAAACTAAATTAAATGAAAAAAAAGATAATCAAAGCTTTTGAATCTCAATGGTTTTTATTTGTCAAACGTTGATTAATATTCTAGAAAAAAAAAAAAAAATAAAAAAAAAAACGGACGCTTTTCTCGCTAGCTGCGTGAAGCAACGTTCACCGATCGTTTTAACGATTTTTTGATCTTCGCGATCCATATTTTCTCCATACAGAGTAGCATAAGGCCGCACAACGAGGCTCCCAGGATGAGGAGAATGAGCGGCAAAACATCGACTATTTCCACAGAGACCGAGCGATCCGTTGCCTAGACATGGAAAGTTTAATGTTACTTAATATTGAAGGTTTACCATATAATATCACATGGATCGTATTTGTACGGAGAACCAACCCTGGACGATTGCAGCAACAGTTCGGTGGCGATGACCCTTTGAAGTATGCCACCATCGCTCATCAATAAAATACTGGTGACAAAAGTTGTTTTTTTTTTTTTTTTTTAATTTTTTTCAATAAGTTTTAAATTTTTTGTTTTGGGCCCAAGCATCGTAAAAAAAAAAAAAAAAAAAAAAGAAATGGAAGAATGTCAATTTTAAATTGATCAATCGTTTAGTCGAACGAAGCGAAGCATTTTTAATCATACGCGATTCACAGCCACTGGAAGCCGCATTATCTCCCATTTCCCGATGAATCTCCGCATTTTCCCTCCCTCCGTCCAATCGGACAATGAATCGTGGTATCGAAAGCTCTCGGCAAAGCTTATCGGCCGTCTGCCCCCGTTCGTTCGATAAAAAAAAAAAAAATAGCCCAAGCTTGACATTTAACTCGCCGCACTTATCCAACGTCAAAACGGAGTTTATCTCGCCTAGTGCACTAGATCGGTGTACCTACACTGCGCGAACTATTTATCGCGTAGGCGCGCGTTTGTTTCGAAATCCAATGTATTTCGATTCGGGGTCTACATCAACATGTTTTTCCACAAACGCGTTGTTCCTTGATTTTGTTGTGTGTATACGCATGGTGATCGAGACAAATGAAAAAAAAAAAAAAAAAAATCGGCATGTAGGTCGGGATGAAGAACCGATCTTACTTTGAGTAAACACCAATCCCTATATTATATTGAAAAAAACATTGAGTCGCGCCAATTGGAAGCAGATATTATAACCCTTTACTTTTGACAAATTTAATTGACGATCGCAAAATTGACGGGGAATTTACCTGAAGTTGTTCGGGATGTAGAAATCGGATGACCGGTTGATCGGTATCGGGATCGAAGTACCCGTGCTGGGCGAGAGTCCGCAAAACACCGCCGAGTAACAGCTCGGCGTCAACATCGGGTTCCTCGGTCATGCTGGTGGCTGCATCGGCGTCCATTCCAAACGACGGATAGTTTTACACTTGCGATCGGTTGTAGAAACGACAGAAAAAAAAAAAAAAAAAAAATAGGTTCAGCACGATCGGTCGAGAGACGCGCGCGCGCGCGAGAAGCGAGCAAAGGGGAACAACTGGCCGCGCTTTTAAACGACGGGTGTGCGCAAAGGCTCGTAAAATATAGAGAATAATGCGCGTTGCCCCCACTGTTCGGAGGCATCGAGCTCTTGAGGCCGAGCTCCTTCGATCTCTCGTGCGACCATAGGCAGCTAATCTTCTGCGACCGACGAAGCCGATTCCGAGCAAAAAAAAAAAAAAAAAAAATGATTCGCGTTATTGCGTCCCACGCACTGTTTTTATACGGTTATTACCCTTTTTCTGCACGCGGTCCTCGCACTCGATTCCTTACGGTTTTTTCTTCCTCTCCCATTCCCGGCTTCTTTGCTTTACACCGACAAAGCCGATAGTCTGGTGAATCACGTTGCGCCTTAATTAGCACGACTCCCTGGCGTGCTGCGTAAATAAGTGTATTTTGTGTACCTATACGTGCTGATTCACGTCGTCTCTCCCTCAAAATACGCGAAAATGAACAGACGCAAGGACAGCGATCCCCACACGGGATGCTCCTTGGACTTGCAGACACACACTTTTCGTATCGGTGCCAAGAAAAGACAAAAAAAAAAAAAAAATCGCCCTCGCGGATAAATCGGAACCTTGTGAATTGTAACGTAGAAACAGATCGAGTTTAGCGCGATTTTTCTTTGATTCTGGCTGGAATATAGCCCGCTCGCTACTAATCTGCGGCTCGTAATCGCAAAGTGTTAAACGACTTTTTTTTTTTTTTTTTATTCTTTCTTATCGCTCTTCAATTAACAATTTTTATCTTTCGATCTACATAATCCAATTGGATAATAATCTCGATGATACGATGACTCGCCGTTGATATTTTTACTATAAAGTGCATGCGTGCGTGTATTCACGAGTTTAACATTTATAATCAATCAGACAAAATAAATGGTATCCTTGTAATCGACCAAGTACAACGTTAATTTATACATTATAATATAACGTGAAAAAAAAATCGCTGATACATACCGGGTCTGGTGGTCAGTAAAATGACGTAAAGAATTATAGAGCCATATATATACGTACGTGCAAGGATATAACGATGCCATAGGCTCGAATAAGCGATGTACTTATATATCCTTTTGTTCCGCGATCAGCACCGGGTTGTCGAGGTACGTCGTAATTGGGTATTAATCCCCTGTATTTATTACCACTGAATTGCGTGTAAATTTACCGCATCTGTGATTTATTACTTACATCGTTTTCTCATTTTCATGGCATTTATCCCAACGGTACATGTACAATATCCGTAAAATAATCGGTTTCTTGTGTCGTTGCTCCTCAAAAGCACCTATACTTTTGTTAAAATAACGTTATTACAACTCATTTTTTCATTGATTTCATGCAATTGTTGCCGTACACATTTTTTTTTTTTTTTTTTCTTATCGATATACCATTTACGGCCTGCGTATTATTTTATGTATAGGATTACTTGCAAAAAGGGCACAAAAGCATTTTTCTCAGCATGTATGAGTATATACTTTTTTTTTTTTTTTAATATTAATAGTTATAGAATAATTTTTATACAATAAAACATTACATGTACGAATTCACACGTACGCGCCTATAATTTATACGGTCAATCTAACTCCGTCGGATCCTGGACACTCGCCTTTGCTCTTCACGACCAGTTCTGAAAAAAAGAATGAAAGAAATCACACCCATTACATTTGAGAAAGCAAAACATTATATACGCTAATTTTTTAAACAAACATCGGTATGCGTCTCAATCGATTTTTGAAAATATAGATTTTGAAAAAGAAAAAAAAGCTCACTCGTTCCCATTTCGCAGTTGTGGGTCTCGAGAGCGCACTGGTTGCCAAAAGTCCTCGGCTTGTAGGTGGCATTGGACGGATCATGAACACAAATCGGATCGTAATTGTTCGTAGCGCAAACTTTCAGACAGTCCTTTTTCGCTTTGGCGGTCTCCTTGGCGTTTTTGATGGCATCCTTGACGTCCTTCGAAGCGGTCACCGCGGGCTTTACCGTGCTCGGTTTTTCCGTCGGAGAGGCTTGGCTCGTACCGGCGATGGCGCATACCAGGACAACGGCTTCAACAAAACGAACCTCGTTTTTTTTTTCTTTTTTTCTTTTTTTTTTTTTTTTCGATCGCAGTTCGTTGAACTATTGAAATCGTCATAAATATGTAAATCGAGTGACGCGTGAACACCGCCACGAGAAAACACGTAATCTACTATCGATATTTAAATTACAAGTTTAACAACTGGATGAAACGGTGAAATTCAAAAATATGTGGTAAAACTACTATTAATCGTGTACTTGTTTTATCGTTTCAAAGTAATTTTTTTTTTGTGCCAAAATACAAAATATGTTTAACCGTTGAGTGCCCAAAAAAAAGGTTGATGGCCCATATTCTTGCAGTACTAAAAATACTTTGAAGATGTGCCATAAAATAACAAGGATGTGCTGAAGGGGGGGGGGGTAAAGGTTTCGTTATTCGAAACAGTTTGAAAAGAATAATCTTACGTAATTAGGATGAAAATTGTAAAACCACATAATGATTTGTCTCTAAGGTGCATCAAGAGTGATCAGTCAACTGATTGATATTCGTTAATTACCAAGAACGAGGGTGAACTTCATGTTGATCAACTGGGCCAGTTCGACAAGTAGTACGATATAAAGATAGGTATCACCGACCTATATGTAAATCCAATTGGTATATATAGGTGACCGGTGGTGGTGTCGATGGACAAAATGGAGAAACACTGAATTCCATCAGGTTCCATCTCTGCTTTTATATTAGCCGCGCGCCATGGCCCCTCTCTCCTCTTCTTCTTAATCTTTTTTACACTTACTTAAGAAAAGGCCTAACTCTGATACGCGCCAGCGCACAAATACACGAGCTTTAGTGCCAGAAGAATTGTATGAGTACAGTGGGTCTGCACACACACACACACACACACACACACACACACACACACATACATACATACATACATACATATATATATATATATATATATATATATATATGCAATGGACGTACCTATATGTATACCTTGTAAATAACTTTCTCCGTGTGTGTGTATATATATATATGATTGTATGTATATACAAACGTCAACGTGTAGCCACAAGTTTTCCTCGCGGCAAACCGCAGCGATTTCCCCGAGCGGATCGAACGCCCCGAGGACCGTCGTGCCGGCGGTCGCGTTCACGAAAAATGGCACGCAATCCTNGCGTAGATTTATAAAAAAAAAAAAAAAAAAAAAAACAAAAAAAAAAAAAAAACAATTACTATATAAATACGTGTAAGGGGATCACCGCGCAAGAATGAACTAGTCATGGGATTTGTCACGTATTCAAAAACGTAAGTGTATGTATCATTATTATTATATACTAGTAGACATGCGCATAAAAGCAAGAAACATTTGACAATTGGAAAAGAATGATACCACGACACTGCACGTTAAAGAATGAATACTTGCTTGTTGTTGATGAGGCCACGGTACGGGCTTCTCTGGGGCACGGCCATGGCAATGGTTGATTGTTTTATCGTGTCCAGGGACTCGAGGACGCAGGTAACCTTTTCCTTGAGTATCGCGAACATGTTGTCCGTCATCATAAAGGCCAACTTGTCGTTCGAGCACACGCTGTTCAGACCCTCGAAGTAATTGTTGGGCAAATTTTCCTTCTCGTCGAGAATTTCGTTGAACATTCTGTTGATTATCTTGTCCGACGATGTCTGTATACGCGTGTGGCGTTGAGGGTCCGAGCAGGATTATAGTAATGAGTAATTTTGTGAGTTGAACAAAAAAAATATATATCGATTTACTCGTACTATATATAGCTTTCATTAAAGTAAAAGTGTTTAGTGGCGTATATGTACCGCAGCATCCGAGTCTTTATGTACAATCAAAACAATGAGTTGAAGTACGTCACTTTTTATGGCATATGGCATTTATGACCTTATGGGAATGTAGAAAAATTAATTAACTATCAGCCATAAAAACCTACTTGCTAGGGCATAATTATATGATATCACTTTGATCATTTTATACAAATGTCAATATTACTATATAAATGACGTGTATTTTTTTATTTTGGTCGAAATAAGTATAATAATCCAGCGTTGATCGTTTTGTAAAATTATTACGATAAAATTTTTTTTTACTTTTTTCAGTCAATGTATGATGTGCAATCAACAAATTTTATGTTTTCATAATGTTTATAACGTTCCGTTGCTAATATAGATACATAATTTGAATAAAAAATCGGTTGACCGATAAGGTAGGATCCATTCGTGTGTCTTTTGTATTGTTTTGAATTTTGACAGTTGCAGGGGTTGCACACCTAACCTTTTTTACACAAACTTCAATAATCATTGTATACTAAAGATTTTTTTCTCGTAAACCAGTCAATTTTTCATCAATACAAATATTTTTTCAACGTACTATAAGAGTTTGGACTTTTCTTTATTTGAATTGCATTGTTTTATATTTCCTCGAGCCGTTTATAATTAATGAATTGTAATTTTTCATTGATAAAAGTGCCTTTGCCATACGTACGTTTTAACGTTTCTGAAAAACATTGTGTTTTCAATGTGTTAGCAGATCTAATTGCATGTTATCGAGTGTAAAGAAAACAAGGTTTTGTGATTAAGTATAAGTGTAATATTATGAAATATGGGAGTAAAAGATTTATGGAATATCATATCGCCGCTGAGCGAAAGGAAACCTTTGTTTGAATTGGAAGGTAAAACTATCGCCATCGACTTGAGTTGCTGGGTCGTCGACAGTCAGAATGTGTCCACACAGCCTAAAATTCACGTGAGGTAAATTGTTTGTATGCTTCTTTAAATTTTTCTTGTGCACTTTGTCAAAGATAGTTTCCCTATATTTTCAGAAATCTGTGCTTTCGTACCTCCTACTTTTTGCTTCACAACATCAATCCAGTATTCGTCCTCGAAGGCACTGCTCCAAAGCTTAAGCATGATACAATAGCCAGAAGAAATGAAGTGATACGTCCTGGAGCTGCTGATAAAAAAAAGTCCAAGAAAGTTGGAAGAACGCACTTTAATACTGTACTCCGGGAATGTCAGGAAATGCTGAGGTATATGGGGTTGGAGTGTATCCAAGGTAAAGGAGAGGCAGAGGCATTGTGTGCCTATTTGAATGCAGATGGGGTAAGCTACATGTACCAACAGCAACGCATTTTTTAATCCATTCAAAAATTAAGATAATTATTAATTTTTTACTAGCTTGTTGATGGCTGCATCACTCAAGACAGTGATTGTTTTTTATATGGAGCTAAGGTAGTCTATCGTAATTTTTGTACCGTCAAACAAAATAGCAGTGGCTTTATTGACGAATATGATATTGAGAAAATCCAAAATGTTCATGGATTAGGTAGAAATAAAATGGTTGCTTTAGCTTTAATTTGTGGATGTGATTATGGGGAGGGGCTGTATGGAGTTGGTAAAGAAAATGCTCTGAAATTTTTCAAAACTGTTAGCGACAGCGAAGTGCTTGACAGGTGATACAATCGTATTATTCATTTTTTCTTAAACCACTTTAATAATTTTCTGTATATTCTTGAAACGCTATATTTTAGGATGAAAAAGTGGAAAACTAACAGTGTACTTCAGAGAATAGACGATAAACTAGCTGATCCAGATACTTGCCCAAATTGTGGCCATTTAGGAAAGAAAACTCATAACAGAAAAGGTTGTTTAGACTGTGGAACCACAGAGAAGTGCAATGATAGCTTTAAGTAAATTCTTATTTTATAAACCATTTTGAAAGAAAATATTAACAAACTTGTAATTTAATTATTCATTCCCTTGTAGGAAAAAATGTGTAGAATTATCTGGCGAGTTGGCTATTAGAAAAAAGGCTCTGATGGATGAAAATTTTCCTAACCAGGAAATTATTGATGAATTTTTACTTCGTAAGGAATCAGTGCCTTCTAGTCTTAATTTAAAGTGGCGCAAACCTAACATGATCAAATTTGTTGTAAGTGATCCCTCTACAAAGTAAAAATCATATTATTTTTTTTTAATTTTAAATTTCTATTAGAGTTTTATGGAAAGAGTAGTACAATGGGATGCAGCCTACGCGCTGAGTAAAATTTTACCAATTTTCACTCGATGGCAAATAAAACACCTTATTGATATTCCCGAAGATGAGAGAGCAGATGAACCAAATATCATTATCCCTGAAAGAATTAAGAAAGTTAAAACTGTTAAAGGTGTACCAAGTTTCGAAATTCTTTGGCAAGATAACCTTGACATAGTAAAAAAATTAGATGTCGTTTACACAGAAGACAAAGAAAATAATGAGGAACCCCAAGTTTTTGGTAAATTACGAAAATACTTTTTATTAGAATGTACATGTAAAAGTTGTCAGTAGTGCGGGCTAATTTTTAAATCATTTTTCAGAGTTGATAACAGTTGAACCACAAGAACTAATCGAGAAATGTTATCCTCAACTATACGATCAATATCTAGCAAGTATACAGGCAAAAAAGGCTCCAAAATTAAAAAGAACACGGGAACCGAAAAAGCCGAAAAAAGACGTCATTAAAAACAAAAAGATCACAGATTACATTGTTATGAACGAATTGGAAGAATCTTTTGAAAAAATGGTGGTATCTCCAAAGAAAAAAAGGGGACCCCAGTTTGACAAGGTGATGGCTACTGCTGAGACTGACAGACTCGACAAAATTCTCAATGGATCTCTAGAGGTACTATTCAACGACCTCGGTCCTGATGATTTTCCCGTCGAAAATGACATCCCAGATGCCGAAATATCTTTGATCATTCAAAATATCGTTAGCAGAAAATATTAACACTCGTGAATAATTTTTTTTAGATTTTTTTTTCTTTTTTTTTGTTTTGTTTTGTTTTGTTTTTTTTTTTTCATTTCATCATGAAACGAGACACAAACGCGCATGTTTTTACAATAATCGACTTATAAAAATACAATACGATTTTTTACAATTATTAACACTTGTAACTTTGTCTGCAATATGGAAAATAAAGACCATACGTTTCAACACCGCATGCGCCTTCGTATTTTACGTATGCACGATGTTTCGTTGTTATTATGCAGTCTTATAGGATCGTTATCGGTTATAACAAAAGTCCTCGGTATGCGTGCGAATTTTAAAATGTAGTCTTCTAAAATATCGTCAAACAGTTCGTCTGAAAAAAAATATATATATATATATATATTTAGTTACTTTGTTTTTCACAAGCACCAAACTACACTTTTCGTTTCTGTATACGTACCAATATTCATATTTGTCTTGGCCGAAGTGACGAAAAACTTGGCGTTCCATTCACGGGCGTAACTCTGGATAACCTCATACTTCGGAATCGTCTCGAACTCGTCGAGCAGGTCGGCCTTCGTCGCGCACAAATATATTAGACGGTCCGGCTGGTACCTCATCAACTCGTTGGCCCAGTAGTCGAGTTTGAGAAAGTTTTTCCAAGACCGCACGTCGTAGCAGAGTATCGCTGCCTTAGCGTCATGGTAATATAGGGAGCAAACCGATCGAAACCTGCATGTAACGATCGATCATTCAATGACCGTCCGGACCGGAAATATTGTTTATATTGTTTTTGGGACAATCGTTTAATCATTGTCAATCGACGAAAAGTAGCGTCATTCAGATTTCTCAATGTTATTGTAAAATGGTGATACTTTTCGTCGGGATCGTTGGAATGAATAATTTTTACCAAGTAAATCCGCCCTTGCTTGGACTATTCAAATAGAAAATTCAAAAGAGGAAACGAGGAATTAATATAGTGTATACATACCTTTCTTGGCCACTCGTGTCCCAACAATTTAATCGGTACTCGACATTTTTTACTTGCAAAACTTTGGAATGGAATGCTGCGCCTATAGTCTAAATCAAAATAGCTGTACCAACGATTTATCTCTCATTCGTACTGAGCAATAAACAAAAAAGCACTTACCTCGCGCTCGGACTCACTGTACGCATTTTTGAAGTATCGATTCATTAAACAAGTTTTCCCCGTCGAACTTTCCCCCAAAAGCACGACTTTGATGTTCTCCCTAGTGCCGATAGCCGTCATGGTCTTACTCTTATTAACATATATATTTGAACAGAAATATTTCAAACCGGTGCGCGTGAATGGAAATTTGTAAGTAATGAGTCATACGCGCGCGCGTCTTATCGGTTTCACACACTTTCGGCGAAAATCATGGCGTTCGATTTGCGAAGCGATAAGCTTTTTCTTCTGATCGGTACAGTAAACTCCGCAATTCACGGTGTTTTTGACAACCGGTCATACATTTTGCCGAAAACTGTGTCACTCAACAATAGGCAATTATTTATCTGAAGCGCTGAATCTCAACAACCTACCCGTTCCGTACATCAAACCGTCGCACACCGCAATTATATAAACATTAGCGCCGGAGCTCAGAGTAGCGAGAAAGATTTTAAAAATCGCACCACATCGAAATTCTTAAACGTACTGTGAAATGATAAAAAATGTTATCTCGGGCTTTGTCCGGCACTTGAATGTACATCACCATACTTACACTCGGCTGCTGCATACATATTATACTCCGGAATGTCCGCACAAGAGAGAGAGAGAGCAACTCAATCCATATACACATATATACGTGCGGCAATTTAATAACAGCGTATGGTATATGCATACACACGTGATCAAGGGATAGGCGAGACACGGATGCGCTTCGCCTGTGCACGCATAGGTGTATATCATTACAAGAGCTCGAGAAAGTGAAAGCTCTCGTGCTGCAAAAATGCTATAGCTGGGAAACGTGGATCAGGTGGAGGAAGAAAATTCAGTCGTTAATAAGTACATTAGAGAGATAGCGCCGGATGAAGTTAGATGGAAAGCGTTTTGTGAAAATGTACCTCAATGAACATCGTTCTCGGTAAAATTTATTTTGTTTGATGTGTGGAGGTTGAGAGAAAAATTCGCTTGGTCCGTATATATTTTATAGTTTGCTGACTCAATGTGAGTATTGGGTTCGCTTTTTTATATTGTTTTTTTTTTCCCCCCCGACCACATCAAGCTACGAACTATACAATCATCGGGGGTCACTCGATCCGCAGTTTTGTAACTCGATCGTTTCCCGACATGTATACACACACACACACATATATATATACTTTTCTCGGCTTACCGCAACGGTAAAACAAAGTACGTCCTTTATCGTTACAATTTTAATTCACGAGAATAAAGAAAAATGGCAAAACGTTCGGATGCTGCGGTACAGCGACTCACCGCTACTCACATATATATATGTATATACGCAGTATAATAGTTACTGCGGGGCAGCCAATAACGGAGCAAAAAGCTCGCGCAATGTGTTGTACATGAAAAACTGTTTCACCATTAATTAGTGTCCACCAACAGGTGGAGAAAAATAAATAAAATATGTATGGTACCTCGAAGAAACCGTAGTCTGCCGAGTCGACGATGACGGTGAGCTTGTAAGTTCCATCGTTGAGGAGGCCCTCCATCGACGTGAACGGCATGACGAAGACCTTGATCGCCAGGAAGCTGATGAGAGCCGCCGAGTAGGCTGCCAGGATGATGGCCCCGGTCATGTGCACCACCCAATTGATGATACGTATCGAGTCGATGTTCACCGAGTCGTGACCTTGAATTGCACGTATACGACGTTACATGTATCGATTATCCATACATTGGTCAAACGGGGATATACCTTGGGCGCAGAGTGCCCCGAACGTGTGGAAGACGGTTTCGGTGAGCTCGAGGCTCGCCTCGTTTCTACGCTCCGGTGGAACGGACCGTTGCACCGACTGCAGCGTCTTGCACCCCATGAGGGTGAGCGCGCTCGACAGGGCGATGACTATCAGAAGACTCGTCCAGATCCCGGGGTAGAACGGGTCCGAGTACGCCGTCCACTTGATGGCCGTGTAGTACGGCCTCTTTATGTATATACGGTACCTGTCGTTTGTTCGATTTTTTTAACTATTTTTAGTTGTGGGACATTGTTTATAGCAATGCTGGGGAGGCTGATAAATACATGTATGTCGAACCGGCTCGATTTAAATAAAATAATACCGCGCCGTGTATAATATATATGGACTATCGAGTAAGACGATTTGGTATGATACTCATACTGTAAAAAAACAAATCGGTGATTCGGTGTACGAAAGTAATGTAATTTCGAGACTTTTGTTTTTTCTTTTTTTTTTTTTTTTTTTTTTTTTTAATTGTACATAATTATACGGGTGCACGTACTTGGTCGTGAAGACAGGAGTGGTGAACTTGACGTCGTCGAGCCTGTCCGAGGTCATGGTCAGTCCAGCGGCCGCGAGGTCGATTTCCTTCCTCGCCAGCATCCCGACGATCCCGCTCCACGAGCCGTTCGACGATTTCGAGCCCCAAGTTTGGCTGCTCGCGTACGTCATCCTGCCCCCCAACAAGTGTATATATATATATATATGTATGTATGTATGTATATATTTGTGTGTGTGTTTATTTTTTATTTGAATAAAGCTCCCCTTACGTGCAGTTCATGTTCTCTTCGAGGAGTTGGATTATTGTCCCGAAGAAGCCGGTTATGCCTGTTATTTCCCCGGAGCTCGCGTCCCTTTGGACCGTGGAAATCGGTGGGTCCTTCAAGTATTTCTTGTGCACCCTTTTTTTTTTTTTTCTTATATAGGCCATAATACGTTAAAAATGATGAGTTACCTCAACCGTCCCTGTCCTGATAACGTGTCCCTGAAGATCGCTTCTGCGCTGATAGAGGGCCAACTTGGTCACCCGCAGCCCTTCCGTCTCGTCCCAAGTTCCGTAGTGCCGCTTGATCGTCCCTCGGTCCTCGGCGATGTTGTACACCTCGCTGATCTCCAGGCCCCTTGCGCCCGGGATCCTCTGCACCACGAGAAATATGCAGTCCAGGGGCACGTAAATGTTGGCGAAAAAATCCTCGGCTTTGGTCCCTTCGCGGAAAAATATCACCCAGTTGATGTAGGCCATCGCGATCCAGGGTGATATTTCCTGAAATGCCCACACACGCGTGTGTATTGGATACTGCGTCGGTTTGCGGGGTGAAGCGAAAATCGGTATATACGTGTGTGTATTCACGTTTGAAAACTGTTGTCTCATCTCCTCGGAATCGTTGACCAGCACGAACAGGGGCCTTTTCAAATTGAAGTAGCTGTCTCCGATCTAGGGAAAAAAAAAAAAAATAAATAAATAAATAAATAGTTTTATTAAACGCCGATGGATTTTTTGCATAGATTTATTGTTCGGTCTTACGCTCTCTTTGAAAGTTTTAATGGCGTAGGCAAACGTGCGGATGTGAAGTCTGGCGATGTAAACTGGGATCGACATGAGCTGCTCGGCTTCGTACACACCTTGTTTGATTTAAAATCACGCGTGAAATGAAAAAAATGCGATAGTATAAGTACATCGAGAGTTGTGTTCTCGATTGTGATGAGTTTCAAACAGAATGATTTTTAAAAAATCGAGAAATGGCACACAATATACTGACCGAGGGCTTGCATTGGATTTTCGACCGTGTACAAAAATATGATGCAAGTGTTGTTGAACACCGTGTGCACGTCCTCGACGACTCTTTTGTAAATGTGCGCTTCCATGACCAGTTGGGCGTTGCAATTAAAATGAGAAAAGATAATCATGGCCATGATAGAAAATTTTACCACGCGGCTGCCGGACCCCTTGGCCATGATCCTTTAGTCCGCGACGATGATACAATGTTAGAACTGGAACATCCAGCATTGCTGACCCATCCCCCTTTTTTTGTACGCCAAATTATAGATGATAAACTTGTCTCCCATTTTAAAGAGCATTTATGGGCTCTACGGCAGCATACCTGTATGCACACCGGTTGAACAAACAACAGAAAAATATCTAAACGTAAGTAATTGCGCAATGTTTGTTGCATTTGTCGATAATGCGATTTAAAATTCAATCGATTGAGCAAAGGTTTCCGTTGTCATGTATGTTGATCCACATCCGAAAACTGCAATTTCAAATTGTACTAGGAAATAGTACAGAAAAAAAAACCCACGTATTTACAAGGGGAATAAATGTGTAATGTCAACATCGATTTTGTTCGGTGTTCCAATTGAACTGCAAATAAGTAGATGGACGAGAAAAGTTTGCCCCTTACTTACTATATGTTCAAACAAACAAGTATCTATTTTAACGTTGTGTTCACACATGTGTCACATGAAATCGATGTCATTTGACTTTTTACTTTCTTACATTATTTATGGGTGGTTTTGGTAAATGAGAAATGAATTTAAACATCGATTGAGTATTACGTATCATTTATTTCTATTCACAATTAATAAATTAACAACAGGCCTGTTGAAATTATATCTGTGTATAAAAAAAAAACGTGTAGAAAAATTCGCACGACTGGCAATAATAGATTTTTAAGTCTATGTATTAATCTATTGTAAGTTTTGTATGATAAACATAAAAAATTCCGCTTGTATGTATGTACATAAGCTTTTATATCAGACTAGATTCATCATAATCAATCAAGTGCTTTGAGTCGTGAATTTTTAAACACACGCGTGAGCTCCGATTCATTGTATTTCTGCTCGATTACTTTTTCTAATTGTGGTTTAGCACAAGTTGTAACAGATAAATAAATGGCTGAGATAAATAAATATATTTATCTTTATTTGCTCTGCTTTTAAAATGTCCGTATAATTCATTAAACGCTTCATTCAGTTCTCAAGATCTTGTCAAATATATTTATATTTTGTGGATCTGCTAAATTACAACTATCCATCTAATATATACTTTACTCATCTGGTAATAAACTTGTGATTGATTAACATTTTAACGCTGATTACTTTGTTCATTTCTCGTTCTATTGGATCGGATGCGGTTTTTTTTTAGCAAGTATTTCATCATTTGTATTATCAGAATATGAAAATGAAATTTTCACGTATAAAAAGTGTAAAACATCAAAGACGTGAACAGTCACTGTAGGATAAAAGTTATAAGGAAGCTAAGTACTTATTCAATATCAGTTTGAAGTCATTCTCGTCTTTTTTACAAAAATTTGTGTACAAAAAATTTCTAAATTGTTCTCTCTCATTTATCTATCATTAGTATTTCTAATACCTACCACTGGCTTCTTTACATTAAAAATCCAATAACAACAATTGAGTGAAAACGATTGATGTAGGTTTTTGATAACATTTTTGTTTGGATCTGATATTCGTTCAGTCATAATTACTATTGATAATAAATGCATAAACGCCCACGTAATCTTTCATGAGCCAGTTTATTTCTTGCAATCAAAGGCAATTTGATTTATAAATAAGCTGCACTACAAAAAATTTCTATACACTACTGCTACACATTGGCAGTGATATTCATCAGTTTTCAATATAAATTTCAAATTATTGACATGTTTCTCGTTATAATGAAAATTTTGCCATTATCGTCAATTCTTGATGTATGAGGTTATCAAAATGAAACTTGAATTACATACTTTTCACCATGAATAAGAGTAAAATTCAGACCGACAGAGTCTTGTGTTTATTTTTTTTTTTTTTTTTTTTTTTTTTTTTTTTACTATGTCTCTGATAAAGACCTAATTTAACTACTTTTCTACTTGTTGCAAAATGGGGGTCATAATAAACATTCACATACGATTGACATATATGTTGAGACGTTTTCATTGGTAAATCATACAAGATGATTTTTATTCCGTATGGTTATAACGATGACACTTAAAAACATGGAATAAAAGTAATTCAATAATTGAGAAAAACTTGACAATTAGCTTGATGAATTGTAATGAATTTGGTGTACATGTACATGAAGTAGTGTAAATTTTGTAAAAAAAAAAAAAAATACAACATTGAACGAAAATGATATAAATTTACAAACAACATCAATTTTGATAGTATTATTCTGTGAATTACAAAAGAAATATTTTGTTTTCAATAAATAAAAAAACAGATCATCACGATACGCATGATGCATCGTTGACATCGATGTACTATGTTCATACTATATACTAATTCGAAGTTCTATACAAAGATGTACAAAAGATTACACTTGCTGCACTGCCATTTATAAATTGTGTACTCTCACGTATGATAAGAAAATTTGGCCAAGTCATAGCTTAATATAAGTTACAATACGTCTTTAAACTAAAATGCAGCCTTTTCGTTATGTACAAAATATATTACGGTACAGATTAAGAGTGTTCTCATTAATTTAAGTTTTTTTTCTTTCCTTTTTTTTTTTTTTTTTTTTTTTTTTTCATTAATCTAGTAATTTACTAAATCAGCATACTCGGGATTATGCGCACCGAGAAGCAGAGATTGTCTCGTTACTTTTTTAATTGTATTTGTAATAATACAAAACGTTTTCAAGCAGCTTCACAGTGAGCTACCTTAAAACATCACCTTCAAATATTTATTATTTGTTCAATAAAAAATTTACAATTTTCACCAGCAAGTAAAACACAAATATATAAAACTTTAACGAATCTTCAAAATCAAATCAAGTAACAAAATTTTTGCTTCACATAATGAATACAATACAGTGTTGTACACAACATATTTGCTTTACTCTGATAATGTCTTGTGTAGCTATTATTACTTTGATGGAAACGCTTTGTACTATTGCGATTATCACGTGTATCACAAGAGCAGCTAGTTTCTAGGACGGTGAAATGATCAGTTACAAAAGAGATCAAATAGAAAACTACTGATCTATAGGAGCACTAATACGAGTTGTATTGCTAGGCGTTAGGAGACGAAGTGGGACGTTGGCTTGGAACTCAGCCGTTTGATTATCTGTCGATTTGATGCTCAGATCATTCTCAGAGCGTTCACATTTCAACCTGCCAATACCTAATCGCGACACACCAATGCCAAGACTAGCTACCTCATCTGGGCCTGAACTGGAACCCTCTACATCTTCACCTTCACTTCCCGCTGCAAATTAGTGCAATCATCATAATTTATTCATAAGGTATTTTAGTTAGCAAGTAATAAAACTACGTACATTGCATATCATGGAGCAGCTGCACAGCTGTGAGTATCTTAGCTCGATGTTCTGGGTGTTGTATACGAAGATAATCAAGGTCAGCAGGCTCCAACTCTCGAAAAAGTTCTAAATCTTCGTAGCCATTGAGCAAAAAGACGGATATGTAATCCTGTGCAAAAATAAATTAATTTAGTAATGCAACTTAAGTATCAATACTTAAAAAAAAGCTTTGAAAAAAACTATTTAATATCACCTGAAGATTCATCCTTTGCAACAGCTCGGGAACTGAACCTGGCTTCTGTCTGTATTTTTGCCCCCACTTCCCACGTCGAGAAAAACGTTCATTTATAATTTCCACGTTTATAAATTTGAAATAGCCCAAACGGTTATGAGCCACGCCTTTCCAAAGACCACTTGCGTTCATCTGAAGTACATCGATTATGTCGCCTTTCTACAATAATAAAATTGACAAAAAACTTAATACTGTCATTCAAAATTCGTATTTTAATAAATCGATTAAATTAAGCCAACATAGATAAGCTGTTGATAACACTGACGTAACAGTACTTACTTTGAAAGGGAGAGCATCTTTGTCGTAAGGGCTGGGCAAACAGTCAGTTAGAGCTCTGGCGCGACAGAGAATGGGAACCGATCCAAAACTACTGGAAGTCACACCCACCATAGTCGTGGGGTGAAGCTCGACTCTCTGGGGACTGTTGGGCTCGCGTTCCTCGCATGATATCGAGCTGTGGTTGCTACCGACGCGCACGAGAGCCTGCGTGCTGCTCGAGCCGCTTCCACTGGGCAGACTTTCAACGCTGCTGGCACTGCACGGAAAAGCCGCTTCGCTAATGGAACCTCCCCGCTGTTGACGTAGCCGTGATATTTTACGCTGCACGTCCTGTCGCAGTGTTCTCGCTCGGCCTGCAATACTGCTGACGTTGATTATGCCTCCGTTTCCGACTTCACCACCACTCACGCTTCGTCCTCCGTTATTACCGACACCTTTACTTTTACTTCCACAATTATTTGTTTGCATCTATAAGCAAATTTACATATTTTTACATTGTCAAGTGTGAAATTCGTTATTTTGACATTTTTTAAAAGAAATTGCGTGCAAATAAATGTTTTACGCCATGAAAATCCAAATTGAGAAATGTATACTAATCAGAACATCAAACGTACCATTGACGAATTTCTTGTTTGTTTAATTATGTGCCATTTTCCTCGATTTACATCCATTGTATCCGGTTCCTCGTAATCTGTGCTTTGGCTTCGTGGTGACTCGACATTATCTTCTTCGCCACTGCTACGACTCTGAAATACAGGAAAAAATTTTGTTAGTATTTAATTTGGTATGTTTCGCAACTGAATATCACATTGCATCAACCTGAACTTCGCTGCTTGCATATTCTCCACTTTCGCGAGAAGCTCTAGAATGAGTGAGTGGTATTATAGTTGGTGGATTGTTATGACCTTGTGGCACAATGAGTCCCTTTATCGTGGAGTATCCCCTTCGAGAGCGGTCTTTAGGCAAGCTTATATCACCAGCAGTTCGCAATGAAATAACGCCTTCACTGCGATGTTCGGAATTGACACTCAACGTGTGACACATTCTACTGATTTTAGATTAATATAAAATTTTTTTTGGAACGAAAGTAACTTGCTATATGATCACAATATGATTGCAAATATTAAAATAGTAAATAACGATAAAAATTATATTTCTTACCTAGAATTTTCGCCTACTGAATTAGCGTTACCTAAATTGCTATTGTAACCCATCAGAAAATCTTCAGGGTCGGATTCATAAGGAGGCTCATCGTACCAATGCTGAACTTTTCTTCCCATCAGCCCTAAAGTTTGTAAATCTATGCACCTAGCTTCTTCATCATACATGTACGTATCATCTTAAAAAAAAATAAATAAAAATAATATACATGTTCAATAAATGGCCAAGATAATATTTATTATGATTCTCACCTTCTGGAAGTTTACTTTGTGCATCAGGTCGAAATTGCATTAATCCTTGTCTGATATCTCTTAAGATCTAATTAGAAAATATGTATTTGTTATTCAAACTACCAAGTGTCCATGAATTCAGTTTGAATAATAAATTATTCAATATAATCTCACCTCTTCATGTTCCTTATTGAATCGTTCTTTTTTTCTTAATGCTTCTTGCACTTTCAACTGAAAAAATAATAGCAATTCTCCGTTTTACGGATGCCAACATATTTTCATACAAATACAAGTTTTCGATATAACTATGCGTAGATTTATAAAAAAAAAAAAAAAAAAAAAAAACCATCAATTTACCCTATGTATAGTCTCTTCAAAACTATTTGTTTGGCTTCCATTTGTTTGTAAATACTTTAATCGATCGTAATCTCTGGGGTCAACCATAGAACGAAGAACAGTTTGTCCAGTTTCTATGGGTAAACCTAAGCCACTTTGCAAAACACTATCTGGTGTATCAACCTGTAAATTATTCTTTAATTAACATTTACAATTCTGAAAGTAATAGTATGCTCATTTGAATATTGGAAGGCACGCACTAACTCGAAACAATATAAAAATAAATTGTTCAATATATCATAGACGGATCTGGAACAAAGATATAATAAATTATTCTTACTCTTTGTGGTACTACTGCTTTAGATTGGCTGTGAACTGGTGAATCATGCGTTGGTCCATGTTTGTCTTTCCTGTGTGCTTTTAAACCTCTCAAGATTCTCGAAAACGTCGTTTTCTTTTTACTTGTGTTGTGACCTTGCTCTAAAATAAAACGGATTATTTTTACTTGACAAATTAGTATATTCTATTAACTGCACAGAATATCGTTTGATTCAGATAACTCACCATTAGGCGGAAATTCGTAAAAAAATGCGGACCTTGGACTTAGACAGCTGGGATGGATTAGATTAGTGTTATTATTTAAAGTTGTATGGACTTGTTACGTTTTGTTATTATAGTTTTTAGTTATATACCTTTGATAAATATTTTGTTGTTTGATGGAATTGGACAAAGCAAAGTTTTGTGTTAGGGCCAGTTTTTGTTGTCTTTGTTGTAACATTTGACGTCCAAATACACCATACCCAAAATCATATATTTCATCTTCTTCTTTGTCACTTAAGCAGCTTGACGGCTTTGAAAAAATGGCCAGAATTATTCAATGACACTTAAAATTTACCTTGCATTTTCACATCTACTAGCAACAAAAAAAAAAGGAACAAAGCCTATAGGGCATCAAATATGACAATAAAAATTTTACTTACCGAATATTTACCAGGAACATAAATGGGCTGGGAATGAGTGGTTGAGAGTTGTAAATTGGACGACTTCAGGGCTGAACTAGCTTCTCGGCGTCGTAACTCCTCCAGAGGCTCAAGGACGTCTCGATAATGCGTTTTCAAAAGATCAGCGTAACGTGAAGCTAACCCTTCCAAATATCCTCGCTCACCATCCTGATCAATCAACCAATTAATCATATTACTCACAATACCATAACTTTGTGTGTCAAGTATTGATGACAACACTCTCTAACACAATTTTTTTTTTTTTTTCTCAAATACTTCTCAGAAAAGAAAACAGACTAGGCCAATGAAAGTTGACTTAGTTTAAGCTACATAGTTAATGTAAGAGAAAAAGAAAAGGATATAAGGATAATAACAAAGAGATATTCAAAATTCGGAGCATACTAACCGGAGTCGTGTAGGGCTGACAGGCGAGTCGAATGCCATCGAGGCGCAACTTCTCCTGGAGCAGATGCCTGAGCTGCATCTTGGGTATGCGTACTAGCTCAGCCTTGCCCTCCTCGTACTCGTCCAAAAACTTGGTCGCCGAGGCGGAGGAGGAGGAGGAGGACAGGCCGGCGCAACGGCCGCAACCAGATGAATCACCAGGAAACTCCTTGCAGCAGCAGCTACAGCGCTGGGAACCAGTGCCAAGTCCCAGCGGACTGCTCAGTTGATGATGGTGTAGTTGCTGATGTAGCTGTTGCTGCTGCTCGTTCTCGCTAGCCTGCACACTCGCCGGCGTTTTCGCTGTGGTGCTCGAGACAACGACAGGATGGTGCCTTTGTATGTCCTCGTTGTCGACGTCGCCCACGACACCACCGCCACGCTCCTTGTTGTCATTGTCCTCGTTGGCGTCACAGCCGTTGCCAACATCATCGTCGTCCTCGTCGTCGGTGGCAGCTGAGGCCGCGGCCAGGCAAGCGCTGCTCTCCTCGAGGGTAAAGTAGACACTGGCTGCGCCCTCCTCACGCAGCCGCTTGACCGACTGGAGAAGCCGAAGCCGGTGGCTCTGCTTGAACACGCCTATGGCGTCGAGGTCCGGCTCGCTGATCTGCTTGCAGATCTCGAGGTCGTCGTAGCCGTTGTCGAGGAACGACTCGGCGTACTCGCCGAGGTAGAGCGAGCGTAACCACTCGACGACGATATTGCTGCTGGTGATGCTCATTGTCCGCCCGACGTCATCGTCGCCACGGCCGTCGTCCTCCTCCTCCTCCTCTTACTCCTCTCCGTAGCGCAGCTCCCAGCCAGCAACGACAGCCCCGAGCTAGCCGGCTGGCAGCGGTGTCGTCGTCGTCGGGCCTGCAAATGCTGGACCATCAGCAGCGTCGTCAGCGGTAGCAGCAACAGCAACAGTCAGCATGACAGCCGTGCACCCGCTAACTCGCTCGCCCCCTGGCGATGGTGTTGCTCGGAGCAACTTGCTCCTCCCGCTCCTGAGAGAGGAGCTGATGCTGCACACGCGATGGAGATGATGACGAGAGAGAGAGAGAGAGAGAGAGAGAAAGATCGGAGATATATTACATAGGGGCACTATGTATAGGCACTGATGGGTACAAGGTAGATAGGATGATTATGGGGTAGTTTTGCACGTCGCATACACACGTAGACACGTAGGGGCAAGCGCGAAGCACGTGCACACACGTATATATTATAGGTATAAGTACGCGATGGCCGTGGTTCAACGGGGCCGCGGGGGCAGCCGTCGCCCGTCACGCACGTTCCTCGTCAACAGGATCGCGGTCCATCTCCGCATCGGTGGCTCATCTGCTCTCGAAGCAAAGTATATATAACTCTCAGCTCCCAGCTTCCAGCATCAACATTCAACATCAGCTCATCTTTTATTTCTTTACTTTCGAGCACAGTATAATACACCTACCCTGCCCAACACACCTATCATGTGCACACAGACACACTACACTGCGCACCCTTTATTATTATTATCCGGACTCCGAAACTCCGAAAGCGGCGACACAGCGGCTCCTTCAGAGGGTCTTTCAGACGGAGAGACTCTTTTTTTTCTCCTCTCTCTCTTTCTCTTTCTCTTTCACAGATGTGTGTGTATAATATATATATATATATATACGTCACGTCGCGTCTTCGTTGCAGGCTGTGGCGAGTGCGGCGACCCTCTTGTCTGACGCTTGCACTTACTCTCTCTTGTCTCTCGCTACCTAATTAATTCCTCTCGATCTTAGACAACAAAAATACTTAAGTATACCTGTACTACTTATTTTAATCATTTTGGTGGCTTCATGATTAATAAGTAGTATACTATGGTATAAGGAAATATCCCTCGCACAGCAGCAGCAGCAATTTAAGGGTAGTATAATAAAGTAATTGATCAATTGTATGGTAACAGAGAGCTTTTCGACCCCAACAGTTGCTGATTATATACTTACCTTTTTGGAGTATACATTTTCAATGATTTTTGCGAATGAAACGTTTTGATCGATGAGGAGCGGTTTATTTTTTCGTTTCTAGAAACGTAATATGTTTTTTTTTTTTAGTTCTCAGCTCTCATTTTTTGAGCAAAAAAGCTCTCTTATTATCGACCCGTAGAATTTATAATTTTTAATGGTGAGTAAAAAAAAACGTTTTGCATTTTACAAAAAAAAAACAAGTCCTGATGTATCGTCTGATCTGTACTTTGGTGACGAATTTCGCAACAAGTCAAAAATGATAACAATGCCGATTATTTGTCTGCTCATTTGACAGTGAACAAGGAGGATAAAAACCAATTGGCCGAAAAATAAAATCCAAAAAGTTTGCACACTCAGTAAAGTATGTAGTGTTGTGACATTATAAACAAGTAACGCGCAAAGTCAAAGATTTAAGGTCAGTGGATCATTGATTTTGCGAGCCGATTCTACAGCAGCTTATCGTCAAACGTATTCACGTAAAAAAATAGATAAGCTTTTACCTACATTGTTTACGGAATGTCGAAAATTCAGCGACGAAAACACGCATATATACATACATATACGTCTGTGGTGATTGATAACGACAAACGTGGGTTAATATCGAAAGTACTTTGTTTAATTGAAAATAATTGATTTAATTTCACTTGAACGAACGAGAGAAGGCCATTTTATGTTATACTAATTATACTTATAGCTACAGATACGATTAAAATCATGTAGACAAACGAAACGCAGGCAACTTAATACATTGACGCAGACAATTTAAACGAAAAAAAAACAAAAACTGCATTCCACATCGGTGTAATGTATAATAAACTACGGTAGACACACACGTGCCGTGCGTTAACCGAATGGCACGCTAAAAAATGGCCCTCCCCCCGACCTGTAATAGTTTTCGCGTATATAGCTTACTGTATCGCACGTATATGAGTAAATAAATAAATATTACAATGTATATATATGTATGTATGTATGAATAAACAAAAAACAAGTATATCGACCCGCGAACAAAGAATATATATATATATATACGTAACGATTAAAAGAGACGGGTAATAAAAGGTATGCGCTGAATTTATTAAACAAAGCCGCCCGATCTCTCGTTTCGCCCTCCCTTCGTCGACGTCTCGCGTTCTTTGCGTTTTCTCTCTCTCTCTCTCTTTCTTCGCATAAACATATATTATACATGTCCATTCCGCGTTGAGCCAACTATATAATATATATATTTCGCTTGCAACCCGTTCTCTCCACACTTCATGCGTGTGTGTGTCGAGTCGAACATATACACCCATGTGACATATATATGCGGCGGTGTAGTTGGTTCTGGTATTCGGGGGCAATCTGGGCATTTTTGGCATAAGCATTTTATGGGCATGTATGAGTCGGCGTACATGCATGGTTTCTATAAATATGTATATATACCTACGTGTGTGGATCTACTTGAGCAATGGAAGAAGATACGATACAAAGGAGATTTATTTTTATATGAGAGGGTACTTGTAGGGGGGGGGGGAAAAAACCCCTGTCTAATCACGCTAATGTATACGTATACGACACATTGGCTCTCTCCAAATATAGAGAAGCGTATATACATTATTTATATGATTATTATCGTTGTTGTAGCGGAGAAAGAGCTATAGGAAGGGATCAGAAAAAGAAGAGGAGCAGAGAGAGAGAGAGAGAGAGACGATGATGATGAGTGGCTGCTGATCTGCTGATGCAGACACACGTGTGCGAGGAGGAGACTTGATGGAAGCAGTCCGAGAATAACGATTATCACGAGAACCGATGAAAGATGTTCATATTGTGGTAATTATGTCTGGCATACTACGTGTCACACATATATATATATGCACAGTCTGGCAATCTGTTTTCGAAGCTCATAGTTTTCAGTTGTATATATATATAAATAAAACGTCAAGTATAATACGAAGATCACCGGCTGGATGTACATACATGGCTTTGATATACGGTGTCCGTAAGTATATTGGTCACCCAATTGTCTCTCGAGTTTTAATTAAAATAAACCGAGCGACCCTGCATAAGTAGGTTGTCTTTGAGAGAAGATTATAATAATTATGCCCCCCCCCCTCGATCGGATGCGACCGAGGGAGGAGAATTCGCGCGACAAAGGATCTAATTCATGATTAAACTTGCTGTGGGGTGGGATTTTTTTTAAAAAAAAGGGGGATCCCTTTAATGTCGGGGTCGCTGGCTGGGTAAATACAAGTAAACGCGGCAAGGTGGATCGGTTGAATGCACCGGTAAAACACCCGCACAGGTATGAAATATATATACATACATACACACATACATTTGTATAACACAATGCTTCTCTCTGTTCCGCTTTTTATTGTGAATTGTATACCCATACGAGTGATAGCAATGAATGTAAAAATTGCCGTGTCTCCTCTTATTCTCGCGATTGTGCGGGTAAGTATATACAACTACTTATAATATTTTCTTCTCTCATCCTTTTACTCTCCCGGGCTCTATATATATGTATAATCTTTACACATTATAATACACTCGGAGAGGCACTCCCTCTCGTAAAGGGGTACATGCACACACACACACACATACACCACACGGTTATCATCATCATCGGTAAGGAGAAGAAGAAGAAGAAGCGGAGAGAAAGAGCCAGGAGAAAGAGAGAGAGAGAGAGAGACCGTGGTGGAGGGAAGATAGAGGAGGAGAGAGCGCGTGCACACACGGGGGCGGCGATCGTCGTGGTACTTACTCGTCGCCTTGAGGAAACCCAACACTTGCTTCGTCCCGATTCATTCCGAGCGGCAGAGAGCTCAGTCGTGGCCGATTCCTCTGCCGGCTCGCTCGCTTGCTCTATACCGCGCGCGTCCGCTTTGCCGAACCCGTCCAAGAGACACCTTTTTTTTTATATTCAAGTGAACTGACCTCAGAGAGACATGTTCACTATTGTATATATATAAAACACACCGTAAGTATTACACGGACTGTCCCGTGTCTTGCATACCTCGGACCAACACGATCGACCGCATCGGCACCGAGAGACACGCATATATATGTATATACCTACGCGCCCCGATCGCTCGGTTCGGCAAAGATAACCGATCGGTCCTTTCCTTTTGTACTTTACTCGCGTGTAAGTACGGGTAGTCTCTCTCTCTCTCTCTCTCGAGCGCGCGCGCGACACATTACCTCCCATATCTATTTCCCAAGTAACTTCAACCCATTGGATCTTTCTCTCGCGGTCCATCTCTGGTCCATACGTATACATAGTGCAAGTTGGCTGCTTCGCCGAATATGGGAGCCATCCTCGAGGTCTCCTTCTTGCGCTGATATCAACGTTATTTATCGGGTAAAGCTCGGGTGTGTATGTCATTAAATATACGCGCGAAAAAAAAAAAAAAAGAGCGACAACAACGTCGAGCAGCTCTTGGCGCTCCCCTTCCTCTTAAACCCATGTACGCGCGTGTGTGTACATTTACATATACATATCACATGCCGATTCTCAAAACCGCCACACCATATCAGCACCACCCGATATCTCTAATGCCAACGCGATTTACTTGTCTCGAGTCTACCCATGTACTTACGATTTCCCAACTTCCAAGTTGTGTGATACACGCAAGTAAGTATACATACGTATATATTTACATAATTGTATTGCTCGCTCATATCTGATATGTTGTTTGCTCTTTTCTTTTCTTTTCTTCTATTTTTTTTTTTATACGTAATACGTCCACCACTGTTGATGATGATGGTGTATAGCGCTTGCAAGTTCCTTTGGCTCAATTTCCCTCTACATACCTATGTTTGCTCCACAAGTATGTTACTATAGGTAAAATATATAAGGTACCACAGTGTGCGCACTTTTTTCCCTCGTTTCTTCGAAATACAACACCTATGAGTGCACTTTTCTTTTTTCTTTTTTTGTTAATAAACTTATTGTACTCTTGGGTATGTGGCAGCGACTTCTTCATGATTACTTTTTTTTTTCTTTCTTTCTTTCTTCGCTACTTGCGCGGACTGTTACAGCGGTGTGTGTATGTATGTATGTGTGTGTGTGTGGGGGGGGGGGGGTTTCGGCGTTTTTTTTCACCCGCGTCGGCTTCTCGGAACGACCGCGATCGGTGCCCGTCACACGAAAAAGCGCACACCGAATCGTTATTAATTTTCATGCCGCGCGTCCTTTCAACTCGAGACACAGTCAAATCAGCAGTCACGTGTCTCTACAAAAACGCCATTTGTGGTGTTTTTCAGAAAACAACCATCAAAACTCGCGCCGGATGAATGAAACTCTGATAGTCACCGCGAATGTTGATGGCAACAAACGTCATTATTCTGTTCTCGCGAGTTTGGCTAAATAGATAGCTCAAGCTTATATATCCGCGTGTAAATCTTCGTTAAACTTTTTTTTTTCCTTACCTCTTTATATTTGAAATAACAAGAGTGTAGAATTGATAGATGTCGTTAAATTGCAACAAAAAAAAGATTTAAACAGTAACGCATACGCCAAACCCCGCCCTTTTGGCGTTACGATTACGCGATCGAAAACACATCCCGGCGAATACTCGGAAACATTTCGGGCCGTGATGTGTTATATGTGTATACACTTTTACATTTTGCATCGGAAAGAAAAGCCGTATATCGCGAGAGAGAGAGAGAGAGGGAGAGTTTATACGGGTGTGCAAACAGACGCGCGTAAAGTCTAATTTCAGAATAGTCGGATCTTCTAGACTATATATATATATAAATGATTTCGGCAAATCGATGCGCTTGGGGGTTCGCAAAACTATATGTAAATTCCCAGTCCAATCGGTTTATCTATACGTTTGGATCTTGAAGTGAATCAAAGAGAAAAAAAATGTTTTTTTCCTTTTTTTCTTTTTTTTTTTTTTTTCATAACATACCGAGCAGCTTATTCAACCAAAACACGAGTGTTTTTTTTTGCCGCTGGATTTCCTGACTCGACAATCTTGCGATAATCTGTACATACAGGTATACACACACGCGTGTTTGCAATACTCTTCCGAGAAGTAAAAATTGGGCAACTAACCTTCGATCCGATTATTGACGCGCCTCTTTTATTTTAGTATATTTTTCGAAAAGTCGGATGATATCCGCGCGATGGTTTATTATCCTTCGTAGGTATACGGTGAGCCTTGAGAGGCGCGAAAAAACTCATCACAAAACAGATAGCGCGAAAATTAGGTGCCTACGAGAGTTCTATTTTCTCGTTCTCCTTTCTTCGCTCGGCAGGTTCTTCGTAAACTTGCTCGTTACCAAAGAAATTACAACCAAACATATAGAAGCTTACGTAAGGCTGTGTACTATTTCGCGGAGAGAACATCTGTGTAATTTGCTGACCTTGGCTCTCTTTTTTATACAGGGACTTGGTAAAATTATGGAAATGATGTTTATCTTTGGCCAAGGAAAGGCAGCAGCCAGTTGTAGAGCAAAGACAGACGTTTTTGGCCAACAATCGAGACTGTAGAACGAGAGGTAAGTTTTTTTTTTTTTTTTTTTTTTTTTTCAATTAATTTTTCTTACAAAACTTGAGAGCAATCAAGGAAATTAAAAAATCACTGTCAATCAATTGGCACAAGGCTGCGTTCCTCTACCACACTTTAATCGTTTTTACTACTGATTTTATGTAAATTTCCACGTGTTTCTATATTGTTTTTTTTTTTTTTTTTTTTTTTTTTTAATCGTCCAAATTTAATTTTCCATCGCATCACACCTGTATCTATATATATAAACTGGAAACAATTTTTAGAACGAGAGAAAAAAAAAAAGTTAAAATTCACACCACATTCCCAGAATTGATTACGATTAATTCATCTATTTTTCAACTCTTTGAAAAACAATTCCCCCCCCCCAAATATATTGAACCTATCCTTCCTGTAACGCAGTAAGTACTTGACCAGTGGTGTTCCAATAAAAAATAGCGTGAAAAGCAATGATTGTAAAGGATTTGACGAAACATGAAATACTTGAGAGAAAAGTCTTTGTATCCGTGCTTTATAGTCTGCAGCGTATTCGATCGGACGATTTGGTTTTGCAGGATAAACCCAAACGCGGACACATGAGGCGTCCAATCGAGACGAGCGACTCGAGGGCCGAAAAATCAAAGCTCAGAAAGAAGAAGAGGAAGAGATAACACCGAGACCCGGAGACAACAGAGAGCGATAAGGATGAAAAATTGCGGCGGCCAGCGTTCGACTGAAATAGTCGTGGTCCTAGCGGTCGTCCTTTTGCTGGCTTTGCTCCTCGTCCTGTGGCAAGGCTCGTCCTCGCCGTCGCCACTGGACAACAGTGCCATCGACAACCAGAGCGCGTCGTCGCTGCTTCGCCTCGGCCACCAGTCCATCTCGGGAAACCATTTCCTCCAAACGCCCAATCACCACCGCGGTGAGCACTCATTGTGTCATTTTCTCTCTTCCCATAATATACTTACCTTACAATTGTATAGTTGTACGGGTGTTCCGTAATTATGTTTGCCCCCTCGATCGATCGGACCACACGGTGCCATTTAAATGATTCAGCCGAGCGAAAATGGGCACATACGACCGCGCATTAAAACCAAAAGTGATGGATGCGCGCGTTGAAAAAGAGACACGAACGATTGTTTTGTTTATTTTGTTTCGATAACACGTCACGTTTTTCATTTCTCACGCGACACATCCGGGGAATAATCCATTAACACCGGCTGATTTATGGCCCTCCCACAGCCGATGGTATTATTGTCTCCGACCCGCAACCTTTTTCGTTCAACATCATATATATATATATATATCGACGCGCCAACACTTTAGCCGACGATGGATCGTATATTATATACACGCTCTGCTCCTCTCCGAGACGAGTATAGACTCCGGCCTAATGCGTACGAGTTACCGATACTTTGTGCGCCAACATTCCGGTTTTTCGTTAAATATTATCGTTATACGTTTTCACGCGAGCAAGTAAGTCTCTCTCTCTCTCTCTCTGCACGTGCAATCATTCACGAAACAGAGAGTAGTGTGTACATCGCGAGCAAACACACCATGCGTGTATTTTTAGCCCGTAATGTTCCATCCACGCGTTACTCCTCCTCCGAGGAATTTGTTATTTTACGGGTGCAAATTTTACTTTTTTCTCACTATACACGTACATATCTGATTTGATTAATCGATAACATGTCAAACAATGAGAGACTCAAACATCTGTCGTAGTGGCTCTACGATGAATAAAAAAAAAAAGGGGGGGGTGGGTTGTTCCTGCCAAAATACACACACACATTTGGTTTGAACGAGCATCAGCGTTAACAAAACCCCACTACAATGTGTCCACGCGACTTTACCAATACATACACGTATGAAAAACAACCGGTAAAAGTTTCATTTTTTATGTCCGACGTCCGACTCTCGCGCTTTGTATATTTTTATATTTATAGCATATACAAACGCGTCTTCGATCACAACGTAAACTGCACTTTGGTTTACATTCGATCTTCCATACGTGCGTGCCATACTCTTCTTCTTTGCTCTTTATTTTCTGCACGTGCGTACACGGATTCGTCACTCGTATATATATACACACACATATGTTTTATCACCATACCCGTGACACACACACACACACACACCACACTATCCGTCCCATTTATACAACTTTTGCCATCGATCTCGCGACTTGTCTCGATCACTCGTATAAGTAATACATGAACGCGAGAGAGCTGTCCCCTCACACGGCGATGTCAAGACATAATATACTGTCGCCCTTCCCCCGAGCAAAGTCAATTATAATACGCGTAAAATCATTAAATCAATGATACCAGCTTCGGTACATACACGGGCATTACATTTTGGCACGAAACTTGCATGGTATACTTATTCCGTGCTTTTTTAATTGCGCCTACAGTAACAAAGTGTCATCTCCGCGTGTATATAGTCCGTCCGCGTCGTATATGTAAGGATTCTCGGTACATTTTTTTTTTTTTTTTTTTCCCCGACACCGCAGATTCCACGTCGCGCAAGACAATATAGTTATATATTATCCATATATTACATGCCGCGCTCATACTCGGATCCCGAGGAAACAAAGAAAAAAACCTTTCGCAATCGCCTATATATACGAGTAAGTGTGTGTGTATAATAATATGTACATACATGTACCTATAATATATAGGTGACGTCCGCGATAATGATTATGAGAAGGAGAGCGTGCTTAAAGAATAAACTTTGCGGGCTAAAATTAAACGCGCATACACATACTCTCTTTCTCTGCCGCGGGTGTGTACGGTAATAGTACACCGTGCGCGTACGCTGTGTGTACCCACTTTCTTCTCTTATTCCTCTGATTCTCGAAATTTCGCTGTACAGACATAAAAAAAAAAAAAAAAAAAAAAAAAAAACAGAGTGTAAATTGTGTTTCCCCCCCCCCTCCGAATGGATCATGATGTTCGCGCTTGACAATGTAATCGAACCGTAGCGGCGGAGGGTGGCGATGGTCCCGCGTCCAAGGTGGAAACGACTTGGGGCGATTGGAAGGCGGAAATCGTGCCGAGCGACGCAGGCAACGCCGAGTACGTCGCACTGGCCAAAAGCGACCGCAACTCTTACGAGGATCCCCGTAAGTGTGGCCGTAAGCGTGTCCCCTTTTTTTTACAATTTAAATAAAATTGCGCGCCTTCCCAGTGGACAGACCGGTAGAGCTCGAGCGCCACCACAGCGGGCACTTCCGGCACAGCCAGAGCAAGGTCTGGGACCCCCATCCGCGGTACGATTTCGTGGCTTTCGGCCACGCGTTCCACGTCCATCTCAAGGAAGACAGGAGCTTCGCGCCTCCCGGCGTCACAGTAATACTATACTATTATACCTCGCACAGTTTTTTTTTGTTTTTTTTTTTTTTTTAATTACAACATTTTCCCCCCATCATCTGCATGCTTCGACCAATCTCGTCGTTATAGTCATTACAAAAAGAAAAAAAACGTCCCTTTGAGAAGTAGAAGACGCGTTATTGTTTAAGGTAACTCACGTCGACGAGAACACGACCAGACGCGAGTACCCGAGCCACCGTTTGGGCTGTTTTTACACGGGCTACCTGGAAGGCGATCCCAAGTCGTTCGTGGCGGTCAGTCTCTGCCACGGAATGGTAATTTATACTATTTGTATATAGGTGTATAACAACGAGTATATATATATATGTATACTCTTCGTGATTTGTTTTTTTTTTTTTTTTTTTTTTTTTTTCTTTTTTCCGCAGACAGGACACATGAGGACGTCGACGGGTAATTATTTGATTAAACCGGCACAGGCGCGAAACTACGGCGACGACGAAAGTCTGGCCGCGCCGATGCCTCTGCAACACGTCATCTATCGCCTGTCCAAGAACAGTGCAAAGTCGCTCCTTAAAAGTGACCACGAGAGAACCAGCGATCTCCTGACCACCAACAACATCGCAAGTGGCGCCGAACACGCTTGCGGGCTCTTGGGTATGGGAGAATAGATTTTTTGTTTCATTCCTCCGTAGGTATACGTATAATATATGATTAAAATTTATTTCAACAATCGCGCAGACGATGTTACGGAAGAAGGTGAGCCGTCCATCTCAATTTCGGAGGACGACAACGAGCCAAGGGCGCATCAGAGGAGACACCGGCGTCAAGCGCTCGTGTACGACTCTAGGTACGTAAATGAAAAGGAAAAAAAAAAAAAAAAAAAAAAAAAGATAGACGAAAAATAAATGTGCGTCCCAACAGCGAGAGTTTTGCTTACGAGGGAGAATCGGACGGGTACAGCAAGTGGCGCGCGAGACGGGCCTCCCCGCGGGAGTATTTCATCGAAATAATGGTCGTGGCTGACTCCACGATGATAAATTACCACGGAGATAGTCTCACGAACTACATCCTCGTCCTCATGAACACGGTAGGTATATACACAACGGAAGGAGAGAGAGAGAGAGAGAGAGATATAAAGGTGTCGACGTTGTTGCAACAACACCCAGTCGTGCGTGTGTTTCGCAGGTGTCGCGAATCTACAAAGACCCGTCGATCGGCAATCCGGTGAGCATAGCCGTGATTAAGATCAAACAAGTGGACAAGGTGTTTGGCTTAAAGCAGCGCAACAGCGACGGCATCGAGGCGTCCGGTATGCTCAAGAAATTTTGCGACTGGCAAAACATCAACAATCCCCACGAACCCTCACCGGAGCATCACGACGCCGCTTTGCTTCTCACGAGGTGATCGTTACGTTTATTTTATGTTTTTATTTTTTTTATTTTATTTTTTTCGGTAGGGAAGACTTAAATCGTACGTTGACGTTTAGGGAAAACCTGTGTCGGAAGCCCGGAGTAAAGTCCTGCGATACCCTGGGCTTGGCCGAGCTCGGTCGGATGTGCTCCTTGAACTCGTCTTGCGCCATCGTACAAGACAACGGGCTCGCCACCGCATTCACCATAGCTCACGAGATCGGCCACGTGTGAGTGGAATACTTGGATATTTTTTTTTTTTTTCTTTCTTTCCATGGATAAACAAATGGTTAAAATTTTTCAAATCATTGGGTTGCAGGTTGAACATGCCTCACGACGATGACGAAAAGTGCCTAAAGTATCGAGATAGCTCGGCCGACAACATCATGTCCCGCATGCTCGACGACAACACCTTCCCTTGGGAGTGGTCCAAGTGCTCGAGGCACTTTCTCACCGAGTTTCTCGAGTACGGTACAACCGTGATTAACGCACCCAATGATTTATAAAAGCCCATGCTGTGTGTGTGTGTGTGTTTATGTGTATAACGTGTGTGTTGGATGTTGTGTCGAAAACAGGGCAGGATCGGGCAATTGTTTGCTGGACGAGCCGGGCGAGGGTAAAATAACGCTGCGACCACGTGACAGTAGATTACCGGGGGAGGACTACTCCCAGAACAAGCAGTGCGAGCTGGTGTACGGCGCGGGCTCGGAGATTTGTCCACACATGGCGGGCGATGGTAAGTTTGGAAATGTAAATAGGGTGGATATGTAATTACTTGGCGGGGGAGGGGGGGTGAACGTATGTGCGAGGTGTCCTCTCCGCGAGACGAGATAATCTGAGAGTGTGTCCTCGTTACCGGCCAGGCAGCATGCAAGCGGCTGTGGTGCACGGTACCGGCCGGCATCTGGAGCGGCAGTGGGCACAAGCGTCAGGAGCAGTGTCACACGCAGCACATGCCCTGGGCCGACGGTACGGTCTGCGGACTGGAGAGGTGGTGCCACCGGGGCGAGTGCGTGCCTCGGCAGGAGAATCTCGAGCCCGTCGACGGTCAATGGGGCGAGTGGACGAGCTACGGTGAGTGCTCGCGTACCTGCGGCGGTGGAATCAAGAAAAAGTTTCGGCACTGCGACAGACCGGCACCCAAGAACGGGGGGAACTATTGCATCGGCGAGAGGGTCAGGTACAAGAGCTGCGCCACCAAGGACTGCCCCGGAGGTTCGATTGATTTTCGGTGCGTATTCCCATTCGTAAAAAATGTGTGTTTCACAGTATACAAAGTTGTTGTTATTTTTTTTTTTTTTTCTTTTTTGCTCCTTTTAGCGAGGAACAGTGCGCCCAGTTTAACAATGACAATCGCAACATCCGCAATCTGACGAAGAATGTCAAGTGGCAAGCAAAGTACGACGGAGGTGAGAGAATATTTGCTTTGTACAATTAGAAAACACAGAAAATGGGACGAGGGGGGTGGGGGGGGAGGGGATGAATGCATCAAATAAACGAAAATGAAAATAGTGCTCGCAGAGGATCGTTGCAAGCTTTACTGCCAAGTGGCGAGCAACCAGTACTACATGCTGCGGGAAAAGGTGGTCGACGGGACGGCCTGCGGCCTCGGGACCTTTCACGTCTGCGTCAACGGCCACTGCAAGCCGGCCGGCTGCGACCACACCCTCAACTCGACGGCGAGCCTCGACACCTGCGGCGTGTGCCGGGGCAACAACTCGACCTGCCGGCGCATATCCGGCTCGTACAACACCAGCGAGTACGGGTACACGAGGGTCACCAAAATACCGGCCGGCAGCAGCTACATCGACATCAAACAGTACGGCTGGAGGGGCTCGCACAACGACAGCAACTACTTGGGTACGCACGCCACGAAGAAAACTGGATGCTCCGTGTAACAAAAACAAAATAAATAAATATAAATGATTAACCATTTGTTCCACCAGCTCTTCGACTCAAGGACAGCGGCAAGTACATATTAAACGGCAACTTCATGGTGATGCAGCGCAAGGTGATCATGCAACCAGGAGCTACGATAGAGTACAGCGGGCCCGAGCACGTGGTCGAGAGGCTCAACAGTTCGAGGCCGATCCACGTCGACTTGATACTCGAGGTGCTGTCGGTCGGGAGCGTCAATCCGCCCCAGATAACGTACGAGTACACCGTACCCAAGCTCATACTCAACAGGTTCACGTGGCTGCTGAGCGATTGGACGGCCTGCGATCGTATCTGCCAGGGCTTGAGCCACCGACAGGCTCGCTGCCAGAGCGTCGAGAATCAGGACGTAGTGGCCAACGACTACTGCCCGGCCCGAGACATGCCGCACGAGGAGACTCGTAGCTGCAACTCTCACTGCGAACTCCAGTACGTGACTATACACTGTGTATTATTATGTAATCATTGTAAACCATTTGACTGACACCCATGGCGATACCATGGTACTTGCAGATGGCAGGAGGTGCCGAACTCGAGGTCCGAGTGCTCGAGCGACTGCGGCCCAGGAGAGATGCGCGTGCGCTACCGTTGCGTCCAGGTCGCGTCGTCGTCGAGGTTGGCCGAGCTCGCCGTGACCGTCCGTCCGGTACCCTCGCACGTCTGCAACCACCTCGAGCGGCCCCAGGAGCTAAAGCCATGCACGGGCACGTGCGACAGCGCGCGCTGGCGGTATGGCGAGTGGGGCACCTGCTCGGTCACCTGCGGCGACAATGGCCTCCGACACAGGACGGTGCAGTGCGTCAACGCCAACAACGAGACACTGCCCGACGACACCTGCTCGCACCTCGCCAAGATCGTCAGCCAGTCCTGCGGCCACAAGTCATGTCCCACCTGGACCTTCGGCGACTGGTCTCCCGTAAGAGTCACTCTCGCTCACTATATTATATTGCATCATTGTCTCCTCAACTCCAATGTCCGTATATGGCAATGGTATTACAAGTATATTTTCTGGGCGTGTGTTTGTGCACTAGTGCTCCGTTGGTTGCGGATTGGGGAAGAGGGAGAGGCCCTACTGGTGCCGAATCGACAATCGGGTGGTTCACCCGAACCACTGCGGTGGCCAGCCGGACAGAGTATCCGAAGCTTGCGACGCTGGCCCTTGTCCCACCTGGCACGCCGGCGACTGGAGCTCGGTATGTATACCATGGATCTATAACAAACATAGCGCCTCTCTGATTAGGAACTGCTCAACACTGTACGATTAAATTTTAGTGCTCGGCTACTTGCGGCGATGCGGTTCGCAGGAGAGCGGTCACTTGTCGATACGCAAACGGCTCCGTGAGCAAAGACTGCGATTCTTCGTCAAAGCCAATTGTTTCGATCAGCTGTGGGCTTCAGTCCTGTTCGGCGGAGGTACGAGTCCTTTTGTTTTTTTCAATCTATCGATAGATCCTCACACGTATACTGTCCGTCACAGATCAGCTCCACTCCGATGGTGAGTTACACTTCGAATGCTGTGCCGGTGGATCGAGTGGACGAGCACGAGAATGACATAAACAATCGCCGTGAGGTGTTTCGGGCTAAATACACGTGGACGATCGAAGGCTTCGAAGAGGTAAAAACGCGCACCTACAATCAATACGTTACATCAGCGTATAATATTATTTATATTTCGTATAAACAAACAATTGTAGTGCTCGAAATCCTGCGGGGGGGGATTCGCGAGACAGATAATCAAGTGCGTGTCCTCCGAGAGCGGAGAAGAAGCTCCCGGGCCAAAGTATTGCGACCTCGAGATTCGCCCGACCGACGTGATATCGTGCAACGAGCACCAGTGTCCGAACTGGGCAACCGGCCCGTGGAGTCAAGTAAGAAGTTTTTTTTGTTGTTGTTGCGATGTATAACATGTATGGTTTTTCGTGCGCAGTGCGACGTCAAGTGCGGCGACGGTTACCAGCACAGGCAGATTTTTTGTCAGGATTCACGGGGCGAAGTAATGACCGATAACGCCTGCCCGGACAAGTCGAGACCCCGACACGCGAGAAAGTGCCAAAGGGCTCCCTGTATCCAGAACAGTCGCGGCAGTAACGGCTTGCTCAACCTCACCACGTACAAGTGGCACGTGGGATCCTGGAGCGAGGTGATTAAACAGTTTTTGTCTTATTTGTAATCGTATACCTCAACGCTTGCCAAATTAGCATTACTTTACACACAAGATAAGAATAATACTTCAATAAAGCGTAAGTATATACAGGAGTATGATGACAAATAAATGTTGTTTTTTTTTTTTTGCTTCATAGTGCTCGGCGAGCTGCGGGAACGGGGTGCGCCGTCGCGAGGTCAGCTGCCACCGCGTCAACAGCTTCGGCTGGCAGGACCCGAGCCCCAGCAGTGGCTGCTCCCACAGCAGCAAGCCGGCTAGCGAGCAGTTCTGCAAAATCCGAGGCTGTAGCGACAGGTTCCACTGGACGCCCGGAAGCTGGAAGAAAGTAATTACGCATTATGCGAACATAAGAAGAAAAAAAAAAAAAATATAACGGTGAAACCAAATGCTGTAATGGTGCGTTTCAGTGCTCCCAGCCGTGCGGGAGGAAGGGCAGGCAGATGCGCCGATTGTTTTGCCTCGACCTGAGGGGCAGGAAGGTCCGGAGCAGACACTGTCCCGCGAGCTTGCGACCCCAGCGGAAGCGCAAGTGCAACCAGAGGCCCTGCACCGGACCCACGTCCTGCCTCGATCTGCGGGCGCGGCTCAAGACCAGCCTCGACGGAGAGTACACTTTGCTGGTCGGTGGCAGGTACATGCCCATCCATTGCCACGGTATGGATGGGCCTGTGCCTCAGGAGTACCTCACTCTGCCGGCCGGTGAGCGCGAGAACTACGCCGAAATCTACGACAAACGGTACAATTACTTTGTTTGCTTTTTTTTTTTTTTTTCCTATTGTTGATTTTGTTCTGTCGGTATTAGCCTACGGAATCCTCCCACCTGTCCGTACGATGGACAAAGGAACGACAGCTGTGAGTGCATGGTAGACGCGGTCCCGATATCCGGTAGGACCATGTTCAAGAAAGTCCGGATAAACATTCACACGTTGCACATCATAGGCAAGTCACTCGCTCGACTGTTCATTGTCAATTGTACCTGTTAATGTTTCCTTCGTCTTTGACTTTAGCCGATGACTATACGTTTTCCGCAAAAGTTGGGGAAAACAACATCGAGTACGGAAAAGCCGGTGACTGTTACAGTCAAATGGAGTGTCCCCAGGGACGATTTGGGATCAATTTGAGCGGCACCCTGCTGATGTTGTCGCCAGAGGTTTACTGGCCAAGACAGAAAAATACCTTCACGGTCATCAATAAAATCGTACGTGGAAACGTGCCTCTTGTGAATTCAACGCATGATTTAATTTTTTTTTTTCCCCTCTGCTTTCAGAGTAATCAGCGCGTCATAGGAAAATGTGGGGGGTACTGTGGCTTTTGCACACCTTTTCCAGGACTGAAGTTGAACGTTCTGCCTCCTTAGATCGAAACTTTTTTTTTTTTTTTTTTCTACTGCGAGAACTAAAGACTAAATGTAGCAAGAATGACAAGCAGCATCAATGTTTGTGTAAAAATAATCAATTTCAATGTTTTAGTTAGTAAGACTTTGAAAGAGATACGATGTAGCTAATAATGTGCTTTACAAAAGTATAGGTAAATATAAATATATATATATATACCCGTGCCATAATCAATCTCTTCGGATAATCAAATTTTCCGTACAAAATGTTTGTGTTGTACACACGTAGTTTGATTTTTTTTTTTTTTTTTTTTTACAAACAACGCATGTGCGTGTATATATATTATAGGCTCATAGAATATAAAGATTTTACATACATGTACTTGCGTGTTGTACGGCCACTACGAAATATCGTTAAATCTTGTACGAGACGAGTTTCAATGAATTCGAAGTACTGATTTAATTACAATTAATTAATGAACCGATTCGTTTATTATAATCAACATTTGATTATTATTTTCAATTCTTGTAATCGCACAATCATATGATTATTATTCTTGTCGTTTGAATTTTTAACAAAAAAAAAAGCCTCGATGTATTGTATTGGTATATATTCTGCTTTAAAGCGGAAACGTTTCTGTACTAGTCATTCGTTCCAGCATTTAATGGAGCATAAATAATGTTCAATCAAACTGACAATTCTGAAGATTAGAGATTCGCAAAATATTCTTAATATAGTATTATTGTATAATAAAAATTAAATATGTATGTACGTGTATACGTAGGTTATTACTAATAATTTTAATATAAACTTTTTTTTTTTTTATGTAATTTTTCACGTGCTGAGCCAATATTTTAGAGAATAACAGTCGCCGAAGGTAGCACTGACAATTTTTATCGCTCGTCAATATGTTCATCATTGTGTAATCATCAAGATTCTTATACTGTGTAAACACGACTAAAATAAAGTGTAAGCGGTGACGATAAAAAAAAAAAGTCATTCGTTTGATTGAAAAAAACATACACTTGACTGTCGCTTCACGATATACCTAACGATAAATCATTCACTTTCCTGAGTAATTTTCCGCAAAATTGTTTTTGAACGAATCATCGATGGTATAGACGAGCTCCGATCCCGCGATTTCAAATCTTGATGTACCCTCGAAACAATGAAAAAAATATCTCTCGAGATGATTTTGACCACATAGGTATGCTGATTACGAAAAATAATTATATTAAAATGTACGCGGAATTTTGTCAACTCTTTTGTGTGTTCACGTGTGTCAAGTTTTGGATTGAACGTACGCACAAAAAAAAAAAAAAAAAAAATGATCTCCTCTTGTCGCCAAATATTGTTTTTTTGACCATGAAAAATTAAGAGGAAGAAGTAACGTACACTGCCAAAATTTTGCATTTTCTACAAATGACGCTCTCACGCTTGGGCCTTTAATTATTATAGATATCGAGACCGACAGCCGACGGCTGAGCACGAAATTGAAAATCAAGTTATTTCAGGTCAAGAGAGAAAAACAGGTATATGCATATGAATCCCCAGGAGAGAATGTGCGCCTAGTGAGGGGTATATCCACACTCAACTCGCGGTTGGTGGTCTCTTTATGTATACAATCTTTTTATATCTGATAAAAATCATACACGTCTATATATGTACACCCGATGGAAAAGATGACGATTTACATGTCAAACGCGCGGAATTATCCGGGTTTTATCTCGAGATGATGTAAATAGGTATCCTTTTTGATACGATCGCTGTTATATTATATATACCCTCTTATCTGATGATGAACTCCATTCATCCATCATTATCTCTTTGAAGCTCTGAAGCTTTGAAGTTTATCCACAACATACGAGCAGAGGCACACAGACCATACTTAATATAGAATTAAAAATCATAATTCTCTTTAAAACATTTCAAGTGATACTTGAATAATTGTTCATCTCCTTCGAATCCTACGATTTTCGCTAATCTCCTTTTCGTAACGAGTGACACTGAAAATTGAAATCCATCTGATCGAATGACCTGAATTTATTAAAAACTACAGGTAAGTGACTGTAGTTTGTATATTAATGTAATAATAATACATAAATAACATACCCCTCAATGGTACGGACACTGCAAAGGGGGTATCAGCCATACCTACTCTCTCTTTTACATGTTTTTCGTCGTGTGTCTGGGTGATGGTGACGTAAGACTTGTAACTCGTATAAAGTAAAGTAGGTATATGCGACCATAGTTTCATACAATTACACTATCCGCAGCATAGAGTGTAGATGTTTTTTATGAGATACAAACATCCGCCACACCTTTACGAGTAAAAAGTAAAAGTTATACCAGTGTCAATAAGCTCGAAGAGACGTTTATTTTTACAATAATAATTTTTCAAATAACGTGCCAATTAAGCTCGCAATAAGGTAAATAATATTTATCCACACGGCATCACAGTAGTAGAATGTCTCAATTAAGTAGACCGTTAGCGTAACTTGATACCGTTACGTCACGCGAGCAGATGGTAAAAAATATTTTTATTAATAAAACACGTTACGGTATATTGCTGGAAAAATCTCACGTGATGTCTGATGCTCTTTCTCTCTTTCTCTCCATCTCTCGCGCGCAAGCTCCCGCGCGCCCCATGCCAGCTCGTATACATATACCTACACACATCTCTCTCCACAAGTCCACACTTGATGATCATCCGCGCACATCAGTTATAACTTATCAGTTAAACAGCGGAAAAGCTCTCTGCTTCGTTTATTCAAGAGTACATTTATTTTGTCGGTTTTTTTTTTTTTTATCTTAAGCACGAGTTGCGCCAGTGCTTTTTATATTCATCAACAGCGCATGTTTAATTGAATTCTTGAAAGTAGTTTCAGATATTACGTGGAAAAAGTTTTAGCTGAAGCTCTTGTGTCTTTTTATCACTCAATCGCTAACTAACGATATACTGGTCGTCTTCACCTTTGCCGAGCTGTAGGTAGGCGATAAGAGAAGGTGGGTGCTCATTGGTAAAATAAGCATATTCATAGCCAACGCGACTCCAGCTGTGTAGATTAAAATTCATAAACTCGCAGGGGCTTGTTTTTTCTCTATCAAGAGAAGCCAAGCCAGCTTAACTAATACTGCACTGTTACAACTTTTCAGAGAACAGATAAGCGTTAGAGCTCATCTATACTGTATTTGTTGAGAGAAAACCAAGTTCAGACAATGTCATCGAGTGTGTTCACTGGAATTGATTTGGGACCACCCATCGAAGTTTTTGCACTTACTAAAGCTTTTCAAGATGATACTTACGGTCAAAAAGTCAATTTGGCCGTAGGAGGTACGTTGAAATTACATTTTTTTTCATACTCAGTAGTAAATATTTGAACATGGGAAGTGTTTTTTTTTTTAATTCAATAAATTTTTCAGCCTACAGAACAAACGAAGGCAAACCATGGGTACTTCCAGTGGTCCGCAAAGTGGAATCTGCTTTGGCAGCAGATGAAACTTTGAATCATGAGTATCTTCCTGTATTAGGACTCGAGAGCTTCAGTCGAGCAGCTACGTCTATGCTCTTGGGAAAGGATTCTCCGGCTATTTCTCAAGGCCGAGCCATTGGAATACAAACATTGTCGGGCACAGGAGCACTTAGAGTGGCAGCCGAGTTCTTAGCGCGTATTTTGCATTTTGATACATTCTACTACAGCACACCGACATGGGGTATGGATTACAAGGAATTGTCCTAAAAATTATTTTTATCCAACAAGGTGTTATTTACTGTTGTCGATATCTCCTATTGCCAGAAAATCACAGATTAGTATTCTTAAATGGAGGATTTAAGAAAAATTGTGAATATCGTTATTGGGATGCAAAAGCTCGTGGAATCGATTTTGATGGCATGATAGAAGATTTAATGAATGCTCCAAAGAATTCTGTGATTATCCTTCATGCATGTGCACACAATCCTACTGGCTGTGACCCTACTCATGAACAGTGGCAGAAAATAGCTGATGTGATTCAAGACAAACAATTATTTCCTATTTTCGATAGTGCATATCAAGTAAAGTTGTACTTAAAATAATTTTCTTTAGAATTAAACAAAAAAATTTCTTAATCTCTTTTTACACTTTTTTTTTTTAGGGTTTTGCTAGTGGAGACCTAGAACAAGATGCTTGGGCTGTGAGATTATTTGTCGAACGAGGTATTGAATTGATTTGTACTCAAAGTTTTGCCAAGAATTTTGGGTTGTACAATGAAAGAGTTGGAAATCTTATCTTGGTTACTAACAGTACAAATGGAATCCCTGAAATCAAGTCTCAATTAACTCTCATCGTGCGAGGAATGTACAGCAATCCACCAAATCACGGAGCTAGAGTAGTTTCATCGGTTTTGAACAATCCTGAACTCTATGAGCAATGGTAATCATTGTAATACTGTATTTGATTCTATTTTATAATCTAAAAAATCAAACTGCTCTACTATGATATTTTACTAGAAAAAACAATTATTTACAGGACGGACCACATACATTCAATGTCTGGACGAATAAAAGAAATGAGAAACCGGCTGCACGAAAAACTATTAAGTTTAAAAACACCCGGATCCTGGGAACACATAATCAATCAAATCGGCATGTTTTCGTATACCGGCCTTTCAGGTAAATTTTTCAACGACAAAGTATAAATATGAAAGGAAACGACCTTTGTAAAAAATTATATCAATTATGTACTTGTATTTGCAGAAAAACAAGTGGAATATTTAATAAAAACTTATCATATCTACCTACTCCGAAGTGGACGCATCAACATGTGCGGTCTTAATGATAAGAATTTAGATTACGTAGCTGATGCTATCCATGATGCTGTAACCAAGTCGTTCTAACTTGATAATGTACTTGAAAATTTAGACATTGAAAAAGTACAAATTTACGTTATAAATGTCGATGGTAGATGAGACCATTGTTTCTCATGTGAATGTGTTATACAATTATGCATGTATATACTAATACAAAATACATATAAATTAATTTGCATGTGTTTATGTGCAAATCAATTATTTAAGAATCACTCTGATGGTACAGAGGTGTTACTGAAACAAGAGCAATAATAATAAATTAATTGAATGCAAATCTATTGTTCATTACAGTAGTCTTAGAAATTATTTAGCTCAAACTCAGTATCTAAAGACCGACTTGGGGCCAAAATGAAGGAGGTCCAAATGTTTGTAAAGTATTAATCGACAATAATTATTATTGAAAAATGTTGAATTTATAAATGTATACCTTAATGAAATTAAAGAATTAAAGAATATTGTAAATGGACGTTAGAAAAATAAATAGTATTGAAAATTATACCTTTAACTATAATACTTAAATTTTTATATGTTTACGTTTAGTGCACATTCACAATTATTTAAACACTATATATCCCACTTAGAAGTTTTTTTTTTAAAAGTTTCACTTCCATCCGATTCAACTGCTGTATAATATCCCATTGACTTGTACTTTGATCTCATGTAAATTATGTAACCTATACATCCACTTATGGCTATAAGCCCCATAGCCATTACAACATTATTCTGCAAAAAAAAGTTTGATTAAAAAAGTGAGATGATTATATTTAATTCTCTGTGAAATATGACATTAATATTTACTGGTTTCACATATAGTTCATAGTTGATGGCTCTAAACATGGGAGAACTTTTCAAGGAACGGATACCATCTCCTGGTTCGTATTTCTTATTACTTTTATCATCCATTAGCACATCGTCAGTTTCCTAAAAATATATTTTAAGTTTTGAAAAAAAAACTCAAAAGTACCATCTTTTTCTCAACCTCAATTATCAATATTTATTTACTTATTGTTAAGTATCAAACTCATTATTGGCGAGTAAATAAAAATTTGTATGGTTTTCCAATGATCAAAAATAACTGAATATTGCACTTAATAATGTACTACCACCATTTTATTTAATGTAAACAAAATAATTACATCATACTTGTCCACATGCTTTATCAAATTCGTAATATTAAAATGGATGTTATTTAAATAATAATTTTTACAATCTGCATTATTCAAACGTTGTCTACTATTTTGAGGTTGGTTATTCTTAATTTTTTATACATATATATATACTAGTATTATTTCACTACGGATAAGTTTATTAGGTATGTGGATCGCCTTATTTATATTACGTTACTTTTGTATTCATAAATTGGTGTCGCTCCCATTAATAAATAAATAATAGATAAATAAGTAACATTATGCTTATCATCTTCATCAGTACAACAGATAGTAATAACAATAATTTTATAGTTGGATTTGTACTTACCTCGCTTCTTATTATGAAAGTTTTTAAATATATCAGAGATGATGATACTGTGAAAACTGTGCAACTGATTGAGGTTATGAGTGCGTATTTTCGCTTTCATCTTACAATTACCTACGACTAGTATAAATCGGTAAGTTAACTGTAAAAGTACACTTTTTACACACTTTTGACTGCAATTTATTTACATTAATCGTCTAATCAATACTTGTAATTGTTTATATCAATGACACCAATAATACCATTTACTACAATGAACAACGTAACAATAATGATTATGACCAACAATTTTTTTTTTTTGTGTTGTGATTTCGCTATTACCAACTGAACTTACCCGCGAAAATTTACGCAAATTTAAACATGCAGCAGAGTTAAAAAATTGCAGCGACATCTAGGGGAAGTCGTCTTGAAAAACAGAAAAACCCTAGATTTTAGTGTTTACCGCCAGAAGGAAATCACTATACACACACAAAACCTATACCCCCTTACACACACCCGTAGATTTGATGCATCAGTGCATCAAACAAAAGACAGACCCTACATAGAGTTAGGTTAATGCTGTGGTTTTTGTTGTTATCAAGCCAAACTGTCATAAACGTCAAGTGTTCAAAAGTGCTATTTACAGTCCTGCATGGGCGAATTTTTCAGCTATAAAAAAATTTCAAAAAATAAATTTTAAGTGAAATGTTAGCGTGAGACTGTAAAAAGTTTTCATCCAGTTTACTCATTATTAAAATAATAATGTTGACTGGTATATTTGTCATGTGAATATATTTGAGATCTTAAAAAAAAAATTGGATAAAATTTTCACCATTCAAACAAAATAATTTCATTTGACGATTCGTTGAAACAAGAGTCGTGTTAAAATGGAGCTTGAAGAAAAAAGTGTGATAATTCCTTTGGAACCAGCAAGGGACTCTTCAGATCTCACGGAGGATAGAAACAGTAAACAGCGGGATGTAACAGATATTCCTCCAAAAAGTTCGAAGATTACGAATTGTGATTTATTTTTTCTAATACTATCAATTATAACACACTGCACTGATGTTGGTGTTGACATCAATATTGTGTTTCAATATTATTTTCATAATAAATTAAACAAGCTGCTGTTGACAATCGCGTTAATACTGATACCATCACTAATCAATACACTTGTGAGTTTGCAGATGTATCAACAAGATGAAGATGTATGGTTTTTCTTAAAAAAAAAAAAAAAAAACAACAAATTTGTACATAAGTACATTTATACATGTATACTAATGAAAGCTAACATAATTTTTTTAGGAAGATCAGCAAAAAAATGAACGTATCAAAAAGCAATCAGTTTGCATAAAAATGTGCAAAAAAATTGGGAGATTTTTTGGGATCGTGCTCACCATTTTATTTCAATTTACAATGGCTCAGCGATGTATTTACAGTTTAAAATATGCTCTTCAATCCCGATACTATAAGAAAAAAGGTGACAGAGTTGGTCAAAGAAGATATTTTATAAAAATGTTGAAAGAAGAACAAGATATTGCTCTTCTTAGAGTTCTTGAATGTTTTATCGAAGCAGCCCCCCAGCAGATCTTACAACTGTCCTTATTTGTGCATGATTATCATGGTGAATTTAGTATTATATGTAAGCCCAAATTAAAAATTTATCTAGTACTTGTTTATCATAAAACTCATATTATTCATAAATTTATTTCTCGTTTTAAGCTGTACATCAGGTGATTAGCATTATCAGTTCTTTCATTAGTTTAGCTTGGGCAATGGTGAGTTACCATCGTAGTGTTCGCCTTGCACAAGTGGATAAAAAAAATATAGACATTATTGGCTCTGTTTTCCAATTCATATGGTATTTTTCTATAACATGTAAGCAATCTTCAATTACCAGTCGATTAAAAAAAATTTTAATGTCTTATTAATTTCTGAGAATACTTTTAGCATCAAGGATTGCCACCGTGTCGGCTGCAGCTGTATATTCCAGTACATTCGTTGTAGGAGCTTGCTCCATCCATTGGTTAGTAATGACAGTATGGACAATCATCGAATCACATGGATTGATTACCTTTTGCCATAACAAAAACCGCCCACCACATATGTCTTTAACAATAATAGAAAGAGTGAAATCGACTTTATTTTCATGTGTACTTGGGTTTGTTTATATTTTTATATATTTGAATCCTGAAGATACAAGCACATTTTACAGGCATCTATTTTATTATGTTATATGTTTCTTTGAAAATGTTTCTGCAAGTGTGTTGATATTGGTGACAAAACTTCCTGCAGATATAGATATTGCAAAGTACCACTATATGTTATCAGCATCTTGCATAATACCTTTTATTTTAGGTGTTATATTTATGATAATATATTACTTGAAATACCATCCATCAATGAAGCATATAACACTCCATTTTTGGAGATTATTGAAAGGGAGATACCATAAATAATTATTCTTTTTAATTATTTAATATTTTATTTAATAATTTAATCTCGGTATCGTGAATGAGAGTATTTGCAATAGCAAATTAACAATAATTATAAATTCATAATAAACTTAAAAACAATACAGTAAAATAATTAAACAGGAAAATGTTTCCCAATTTTCGTTCAAATATTACAACATGGTGTATACAAAACTATCAACTATATACGCATATTTTGAATCAGACTTGATTTTTCATTAACACATTTACATTTAAAGAATTGTAATCTAATGGAAATGTATTTTTTATTTTTAAGCTCTCAAGTAAAGAGCTCAATACTTTTTTATACTAATGATATGGGTATAAGACTGATTAATCAGATTTAGTTATGCCGTTTTCTGTATTATGGGTAATTATTTCGAAAAATTTTTGTAAGCACTATCTGCTGCCAAACAAACGTAAATCTAACTTTAAGAGTACGTGCCCTCGGTCAACTTCACGCAGTTTTATTCGTTTCGTTATTGGACCAAACGTGTCACTGCTGTCTCTGACAATGTCTACGACTCGAACCTCTGCTCGGCCGAGAAATTCTGAAATATAAATATTTATATTTATTATACATATATATATATATATATTTGATAGTACTTAATATATGATGGTATAAAAAAATTATCAACAGCATTTTACCATCAGGACTAAAATATCCTTTATCGAAAATCGTAATGCACAGCGTGTCTTCATGCAAATCCTTAACTTGGAACTGCATAGAAGTGTCCCATATTGGACAATCTGAACCCGAGACAACGATCGTCTGCTCCTCTTGTGATCCCATGGAAACCTTGCAATATGCGTTGCATTTTCCTATAAGCACACAATTTAAAGACACCACGCGAGACTTATTTCTTTAACACTACAATTGCCATACTCGTGCATTTACGACATGCTTTGTCGGTGATATTAAAAAGAATCTCAATTATTTTTCTAAAACTATTTGAGACAAGAGCAAAGATATTAGTTGGAATATAAACAACAAACTGAAAGAGAATGTAAATTATAACACGACGAACAAAAATATGAAGAAAGTATTTTGTATGAGATATGAAATACTAAAATTTTTTGTACCAAATTTTTACTACAGAACAAAGTTTTATACAAGTATTAAAATGTATTAATAGAAAATAACATAAATGATTAGTTTTTTTAATCTATGCAGTGCAGCGTTTTATTAAGCTTAAGTTATAGAAAAGTGTTATCCATGCAACGTGCATGTAAAATTGTCAATAAAACAAAAGTATTCTTGAAGATGATGATTTATTTATTCAAGTCCATTTTCTGACCTTTCCTAATTTCGTCTATGATTTAAGGCAATTACTAAATCGATTAGTATGAAGATGCAACAAACTTTTGAATGCGTAAAAATTATGGCCGAATTTTGAAAATGATTTTTGTAATTTCGTACGAAGGTTTACCTTTGTTTTTACTGACAAGATCTTCTGCCTCCTTAACTACTATCCAAATAAGGCCCTTTGTAGGCCTGTGTCGAACTAAAAGGTAGAGTGTATCGTATGTTTTAGTATTGAGATCTACAGTGCTGTGTTAGGAACAAAAGGTTTTAAACAAAATATTTGTGTACATTGTCACCCCAGCTGTGTCCTCTGACTTTTAGACGTTTTCATACGACTAGATCCCAAGAGTCAAGTTTTGACATGCATACAAAAAAAGAGCAGAAAATAGTAAGCGGCCAATGGCGAAGCGCTACGTACACATTAGATATCTGAGAAAAATGCTCAAAAACATTGTATTTCGAAATATGGCAAAATGTGCATCGAAAGAATGAAAAAAAAAGTGAAAAAAAGATGTAAGGCCAAAGCAGGAAATCGTCGTCGTTGCTTACCGGTCGTATTTTTTAAGCTGGATCCTTCTACCACAGTCACGAGAATTCGTCCGCATGCTTTGAACTGCGCCTGCTCTATTTTCCGAGACAAACATACATTGTACGATTTTAACAAAAAGCTAAAAATGACGTATACTGTACATACACGGTAAAAAAAAACCTAGATTGAAGTTCTAAATTTTTTTTCGAAAAAATCATACTTGTGTACAATCGATATCGATGTCTTCAACCTGTTGTTAAATGAGACGAAACAAATCATAACAAATAAAAAAATAGGAACATTCTGCCCAAATATAGTTAAAGACGCACCAATTATCAGCAGAACAATTAAAATACCAAAATATGTATTTACAAGTAAAACAACCAACAATTCATTTATTCGTCAGACGACAACATAAACAGCGCGATCGTCACGTCTGCAAATCTTGACGGACAAACCAGCGACAAATGACCTTGCGCTCAACGTAAAGCAGTTAAGCGACTTGATAACGTCAGAGACACTGCGCGAGCCAACTTCACCGTAATAACAACAACAACAGCAACACTTACTCGAGCGTTGACGCTGCAGTCGGCTCTTTTCGTTTTCAGCGAATTGTCTTCGAGCCTCCATTATCCGGCGTACCCACAACGAGCACTCGCTAGTTGACGGGGTCACTAGATTGATGTCCTTTTTGGAGTCACTTAGCCGCAATGTCCTCGAGTGTTCGGATGGCGTGTGATCGCCACCGCCGTTAGTCAGGGAGTTGCCGATCCCGTTCGTCTTTAGCTCGTTGAAGAGAATCAGATCTTGTAAGAAGATAGGCTGCAAAGGATTGAAAGTCAGTTGCATCATACTTTTAGACACTTTAGCTTCCAAAATGTTCTTTTATTTCATCAAATCGAGTTTCTTGAAGCCGAGCTTGCTTACCCTTCTGTACAGCTTGAACTTTTGATTTTCGTTTCTCTCGAAGGAAAACTGCTGATTACTCGGTATTGATTTCAGTGGTTGCGCGAACAACAAAAAGTCGTTTGTAAGGAAACAGACGAGTTCCTTTCCGCTCTTGGACTTGTGTAAAATCCCGTAGTGCAGGAGCTTGCGAGGACCGAGAGAATTCGTGAGCGAATTGAAGACCAATTGCTCCTCGAGGCCGTCACAAGCCACGTGTGTCTGAAGCCATTCGAGTCTGTCGCTGTTTTCTTTCTCCCGCACACCTTCGTTCACCTGGTAATTTCCGTTCGTTATGATTTCATAATGTCTCGATTGATTGTCCAATACTTGAATTTCAGTTCAAAAATTTACCTGCGTGCAAAATTCCTCGGCTTTGGCCAGAGCTTCTTGCAAATACTGCCGGTCAGGATGCTCGGCACGAGTGTACTCTAGTATCTGAACGATAAAGACATTGTACATTAATAAAAAAAAAAAAATAAATAAATAAAAAAAAGTGGAAAAATTATAAACGCACCTTTCCAATGAGCAATGGATATTTGGTGATTCGCTGCATCGGTTTTATCAAAAACGAGCTCAGTGGCATTCCTTTGGTTCGAACGTCCTGTTGGCATCTCTGGGATACCTCGACGAAAGCTTGATTCGTTTCGGTGAGCCGTTGAAGGTACTTGGCCGCCGATATTTGACAACTACAGAATCTTATGTAAGCAGACATACGTGGAATCTAAAATACACAAATCAACACCCATAAACGCCAACATACCCACTTACGAATTATTTTAACGTTATCGTTAAATCTCGTTGGGCTTACGTTTTCACAGAGGATATCACCGATCATTCGGATGATCCCTCCTTCGCTATTGTCGCGCCTTATTCTCAAGGTCCTGAAAAAAAAAAAAAAACACGTAGATTATCACTTTTGAATGCGTGTCCAGGGTGAGCGCAGGTAAGAATCGATTACCTTAAAAAACTGTCGTTACAAGCAATGATGTCTCGCCAGTTGATGAATATCTTGTCGACCTCGTGGACGGTCAAAACCATGCTGGCTAAGAGCGGTTTTTCGAAAACCTGTGCAAAGATCGGATGACGATGTAATATTGTCTTGGTCCCGTGTACTCGGTATATACATGTAATTAATGAATAAATAAGAACCTCGTGGACCAGTTGCATATCGACGATGTAGGCCTCTTCCGTGCGGATGAGCTCCTTGATGTGTTCCTGGCGTTTGCGCTCCGTGTGATCGAGCTGGGCCATCGGATCAGTTCTCAGAAAGTCGTTGACTGCTTGGCGCCCGTAGTGTCATGCATGTATGTGTTACACACGGTAAAGTATACATACACATGTCGGCGTGTTAGGACGAAAGGTGCATGGGCGCAATGATCGAGGTAAGCGCGCGTCGCAAAAACAAGAGAAACAAACAAACAAAAATGGGCAAAATACAATGTGGCTCTGCACGTGAGATCTCTCCCCTCCTGATAGATAAGTACGGGTAAATAGTATGCGATTTACCCTTTTTTTTTTTTTTTTTTTTTTTTTTTTTTTNTTTTTTCTAATTATCATTGTTTTTCACACTTCGTTCACAGAACACATATTAAGCACTGACAGGATTACTCTTAATCATACACGTGTATAATAATTACGTACACATTATTGTTATCTTTGTCAATAATGGTTGATTCAACAATATTTCAAAATTATTGTAGCATTATTTTATCACCATTCACAATACTATTTTGATATTATTTTTGCTGAAAAAATTATATTTAAACGAAGTTGAAAAAAGTATCCGTATGTGAGTCTGTACACTTAAAAAAAAATCCTTTAGAATCAAGGAAATATTTACTGGAATATTTCCAAGAAAATAAACTCTTTAAACAAGATTATATTTTCTTGCATTAAGACAGCATTAATAAGAATTAAATAAGAAACTATTCTTAGCTTAAAATAATATACTAGATTATGTACGTAAAATTATTCTAATAAATATTTATTCTAGGAAATTTTTTTTAGCGTAGCTTCATTTTTTTACCAAAAGCGCAGCATGTTGAAGCGATCCATTTTCATATATTTATTGTGGCAAAATGAAGATATAATCTATTAAATTTTTTTATATAATTGACAAGTCGTTGTAAAAATTATACTTCGTAAAGTATATATATACACTGTACTGTGAGTAAAGTACCTGGATCGGAGGAAAAGTGCAAAAGTGAGCCCTCGAGCTGTACCAAATCCTCCGAGTAATCCTTAAACAAAGGCGTGGAGCTTTTTTTTCGCGGGACGCGATCATCCCCGTGCGGACACCGGTTTCATTCGAGCGCGCGTCTCTCGTACAAAATGGCAAATGCATAAGTGTGTCAAGCCTCGGTTCGTCTCGCGCGCTCCCCGATATTGATCCCTCCCTTCCTCCGCGACTCGCCGGGTTGTGGGGTATTGTAAATTTTACGGTGCCTCGTCGCGAGGGCTGATTTGTCTTTAAATTTAGCTTCAACGGGATATCGGCTGTCGAGTGCAGGTCTTGTCCTTTTTCTCCGCGACGCGTCCAGAATAAAGAATGGGCTTTCAATTTTTTATCGTATGGCCAGCCGATTCGGGTCGATTATTATTTCATATTAGTTATCCACACGTTACAAGTAATATCGATTTTTCTTAACTACCGCGAGACTAAAAAAACAACAATACATTGGACTATAGGTGGCTTCATTATGATACGTGAAATTGGCGGCTTTTTTACAAAATCAAATTTTTTCAAAAGTAAAATATTTATATTTTGCAAGTGTGTAATTTTTTTTACAACTGGAACGATATGCAGATGTTTGAATAATTTTATAAGACTGCGTTAAAAATGGAAACATGAAATAGGTAAAATTAAATCAAAAGCTTGAAAAGTAATTCATCATTTAATAACGGAACTAATAAAACAAAACAATAAAAAACAAAAAAAAAAAAAAATATACGTAAAGTAAGAAAACAAAGTTGGCGAAAAAAATAAATGAGAAATAATGACTGACAACAATTTGGAATGCAAGTTCATACTTGAACTGAGTTTTTTCTTTTTTATTAATATCCGACAATACAACGAGAAACAATATGTATAAGTCTGGCATTGATAACAATCTCAGGATCAGATAGCGCTACACGAATAATTACAATACCTCATAATTGTGTATATATTCAAAGTACACGTTATAGTAACCACACGGTTCGCAAAATTTGCGTCACACCCTCTCATTCGTATCCTCTTAAATGTTTTATTGGTACAATTTTTTTTTTTCTTTTTCTTTTTTTATTAAAAACCAGCCAATGAATAAACAAATATTTCACAGCCTATATTTTTATTTCTAAACCACATCAAGTCTCCTTTTTTTCTTCGAGCACGTTTAAAATCTCAGTTTTTTCATGATTAACCACAATTTACGCTTTTACAGCTTCGGGACTACTGCAGTAAATAAAACTTGTGAAAAATAAATAAGAGTTAAATCGAGATAAAAACACGACTTTCCGGAATTTTTTAAGACAGAGGCTATANTTTGCATGTGTCGAAGGGTATAAGATAAAGACACAGCACATCGCACTTCTGTATTGTGCTCTCGCCATTAATAATTTAAATATTCCATTTGCATCTAACTCAAAATTTCTAACTATATATACTTAGTGTAACTTCACCATCATTTTACTCTCAACATATGAAATCATCGCGATTACAAATTTGAAAACTGTTAATTTAGAACTATTTTTTTTTTTAATTATTTTTACGGCTATATTTTCCATTGTTAGCAAAGAATATTTTATTTATGGTTACTTTTTCACATATAATTTCACTGAAGGAAAAAATTCCGTTATTTTTTTATTTTTTTATTTGCACATGCAATAAGTTCGCGAAAAGACTTATTATGTGTACGATTTATTTTTAGTATTACTATATGAGTACGAGAAATGTGGCAGATGAGTCGAACGATTTTTTTTTTTCATTTCTAACTTTTTTATTTAAAAATCTTTGATTTGTGTAAGACGAAAAATTTTTCAAAAGCTAACACTGCTTTTCTTTTGATAATATAACTGTATCGTGACATTTAAGTTTACCTCTTAATTTTGCAAGCACGTGAAACTTGATTATTTAGCGCTAAAGCAGTTTTTTGATACAAACTTTTTTATTTTTTTTATTCAAATAAAGCTTTAATGTTTTTATGAGTGTAATAACATTTGACTTAAACTTCAGCTTTAAACAATAATTTTTTGGGTGAATATACCATTAATATTTTTCTTACATCATGTAGATCTATTAAATAATACTCTATAAAATCACAAGTTTTTCTTAAGAATGAGCATTAATTATCACTTTGTTAATTATTTATTTTATTAATTAATGAAAAAGTATTTCGTTGTTGAATTTTTAGTAAAGGATCAACACCGACGGAAATGCAAAAGAAAAAGATGAATAAATTTATCTCGATGTAGCGAAATTAAGAGTATATGCTACATTTGGTGATGGCCTATAATACCTATGCTTGTTTTCAAAATTTAGTTACACGACTCTCTCTTGTCATCTTTTTTCTAAATCTAATAAATCTAACTAGTGAGACAATTTTTGCGCGTTTTTATGTATATAAATTCGTGACTTTTATGTGAATGTCTCGTCTTATATCTTACTGCGACTCGCGCGTACGTTATACTCTGTGGAGTTTTTATTTTATTTATTTTCAAATGATATTTTATTTTTTATCAACGTTGGCTCCCTCTTTGCATTTTTTCTCGTTTCTAACTACGTAGAAATAATGCAATCACAGGAGTGCAAAAGTAAACTTTGGTTTAAAGTTGACTTAAAAATTTTGCGTTATAAGAGTTTTAATTGTTTTGTTACAAGATATGTATATTAAGTATCATGCATTTTTTTCATAATTTATTTTATTAATTACTCTCGTAATGATTAACCAATTGCACACTCCGAAAGATTCCTTTTTTTTCTACTTATGTTTCTTTCTTTCGATGCGAAAGAACTATCTGGAAAATCAGTATTTTTTCATTCAATTATAACATTTACAAATTACATGTGATGTTTTTCGAACAATGTACAATTAAAGCAAAGATATAACGAACAACTCTTTCGGAATCATTTTTTATTTCCTTTAAACCTCACATATCATACAAAAAATTTATATGAACACATACAGAAAAGGAACAAAGAACGGAAATATAATGTACACGTTGTAGAACAAAATATTAAATATAAGGTTGAATTTTAAGTATTTTGACGTGTTCCCATGTTTTTGTTTTTTTTTGGTTTTTTATTTTTCTATGGTTTTTTTTCTCCATCGGGTTTTAAAAACAAATGAATGCTCACGAGATTACTACAACATATTCATACAGCTTACGCTTTAACGTGTTCAATGTTTCGTGATGTTACATCCATACTACTAATTATTACTGTAAACAATTTTTATATATTTTTTCTTACTACATCATAGAAACAATTCTAATGCTCTTTTAAATTTTAAAATTCTCGACATAATACAATAAAAGTAATTTACTGAAAAATATTTGTTTGATTAAAATCAATACGCCTTTACCGGAAATTCACTACCTAGCAATACATCAACTTTTTCTCAAACCATAAATAACTTTAATCGATGACGTCAACTCTTATTCTTAACGTTTATACTAATTAAAAATCTAAGAAAAAAGAATTAACATGTTTTTTTTGTTTTTTTTTCTCAAACAAACATTTTTCAGTAAAAAAACCGTCAACGTACAATAGCTTACATTTAAACAAAAAATGAAGCTGTTGATTCATTTTTATTAACAGACACTTATTTCATTCTTTAATTATTTTCAAATGGCCACACGATTCTCCGACGTCAAGCCGGGAGTATGTACCAAAGCTAAATAACTTACTTTTAAAATTATTTTACATGGTACTGAGTCATTTTTAATGCTTTCTTTTTTTCTTTGGTATTACATTGACTGTGCTTAATATAAATTTTATTTCCATTCTCATTCAAACCTGCGTCAGGATAAATCCGACGTGGTAGAAATCAATTGTTAATGGCACACGCGCGTGCGTGTGCACGTATAATACGATGAAGAAAAAAAGAAACACGTAAACGTTAACAGTTTTCTACTATCATTAATACATTAACACATTTTTTTAATGTTATTTATATTCAACAGAATTTTTTTGGGATGGCTTTTGGTTACTCAAAAAAAAAGTAAACGATGGTATATTTATGTGGTCTTCGTATAATATTCGACACTTGAGAAGGCATTTCTTATACAGTATACAAGT